CATGTTGCTGGAGAGCAACCGTTTTGTAGGTTTTCACTCCAACAGGTTTTGGCGACAGCTAGTCTTACTGGGGTCCGACACATAACAACAAAGACATTACAGACAAAATACTTTACCATTTACATACATTTAAAAACATTAACATGTAGTGTGTGCACATGCGTTTTGAGAAGGAGAGAGGACGCGAGGAGTATGCAATTGAGGTCTTCCCACAGAATCCTACTCATTACTCCTGGGAGGCAGCTCAGTTCCAAAACTTCACCTGGTGCAAAACATGCCTACCCGGGCGCCCGGGCCAGATTAATCAAATCCCCTCATTGAATAGAACGGGTGAAGTTTTGCAAGTGTACCCATGAGTTGACCAGTTAAATTGCCAGGGTTAGAGGTTCCAAGCCAGATCTATTCATTCTGATTTCTATGCCCATGAATTTACCGGAATGAATACATCTCTGAGATAGAGAACGGTGCTGTTCCAGGTGGTCTACATAGCAGTCACACTGCACGCAGCCACCAATGATTGCATGGCATGTTATTGATGGCGTTCCACAACATCACACTGCCATCATTAGGCTAGCTAAAGTTTGTTGCAAAATTTAGCCACCAGCTCCTCCTTGGTTGGTTTTTCCACCGGGGCGATGTTGGGAGGTAGGTCTGGTGTGTCAACTTTGAAGTCTAGGTCTTTGTATATGACCTGTTTATCTTCCCGCCTCTTGAAAGCCTGCTGGACCAATCAGGTTCTAAAGTTGAATGTCTTCTGTTCAGACACTCTTCTCTACCCAGTTCTTAGCCTGTTTGGAATACTCCACACGGCTTCTCGGATCTCCTGAAAGATGTGTAACAGAATAACAAACCAAAAAATATAAATTAATCCTAATTAGTCTTTCCTTGCATCCTCCTGAAACATTATTGGAGGAGGCGTGTGAAAAGGATACAACGATAGATGTGAGAAATTGAACAAAGATCAAATCCGAAACAGTATGGTTCATTGTCCTATACTCATGTCTGTCCCACTACCCCTCTCCATCTTCCATTCCCTCCCAGGCAGGTATAAACAGAAAGAGTGATTGGTGATGTTGGCTGGTATAAAACAGAGTCAGTCATTACATGTCAATTCAGGGCATGAGCTGATATTCTAAATGTTTTAATTTAAATAATGTAAAGTTTGGGCTAGTTTGTCATTACAAGTCATGGAACAGCTAGGGCCAGAGACATATATTTATCTATATGGCTCTGGCTAGGGCTGTGTGCTACTCATGGACCTCAACTAGGGCAAGTAATTTTATGCAATCAATAGCACTACAGAAAACTGTGATGCCTAGTAGAAAATAATATACAATTTCTTATCAGTAACGTTATAATGAAAAAGGGAATTGCATCACAAATCAAAATAAGCTAAACAGTCAGTAGGACAGGATAACGTTACCGTTACAGTAGTAGCTAAGCTAAAAACATCACAAACAAATTAAATGAATGGCAAACAAATAACGTTATAAATTACTTTGTGGTGACTAGCTACAGGTGTTAGCAACTTAGCTAGCTAGCAACATACCTTGAATGGTTGGAGCTTTCCCGTCCATGGTGGAAAGACTGTCGGAACAGAACCCGGTTTCAACCGGTCCCCATTGTAGTCTGTGGCTACAAAGTGATCACTGGACACGGTCAACCACAGATGGTGAATGACTTCAGGCGTCGTACCGACACCATAAGCATGATGTTGGATGGCCTGCAGCCATGCCTGACATAAAGCACCATCGCAGTCAGGAAAAGAGTGGAAATGTGTAGTGTATTTGTATCTGACCGGAACATTATTGCACTTCATTTTGGCCAACGTCATACTCGACTACTAACGTTATTCGCCTTACTTTACTTCAGCGATTACTAACCGCTAGCCTAGCTAGATGCCATCTCTTTGTTTAATTCCTTTCGTTCTGATTTCCTTTCTTGAAGACCAATAGTAAGACACTCCATCGTCCCGCCACCTGTAATTATCAATTTTAGAACCAGGAAGAAGAGTATCTACCGGATTACAGACTATATGGAAGACCTTTGCGCTAGCACGAGGTAGGTCTTTGTTTTTTAAATACTTTTTACATTAAACAACACATGATTTGGCAATTCAATGCCGAGACACCAATTGTTGTTTATGTAACAATAAATACACTGTTTTTAATGCATTTTAAGTCATTTAGGAAATTCAGCATTTTGATATAAAATACAGAAATCTAAATTGTGGGGATTTTTTATTCTCATAATTGATGGGATGAATAGCTTGGAAGGAATGCATTAATGATTAAGGCATGGAGGGTCTGGACTGTGCTGATGTGGGTTGTTTCACCTGGCAAGCTGTGATTAATGTGAGGAGCTGTTTTAGGGGGTAAGATGAGATAAGAATTTGTGTCTCCAAATACTAGACTATACTGCTTCTTTGTGATCTGTGAACCTTCCTTGGACGTAGGAATGGTGTCTAGGGGAGCTGGCTCTTCTCACCATGACAGGTTGTTATAATAAGAACTTATGCCTGGCAACAGGGATGCGCCAAGAGGCTGGGACTAGCCTGTGCGCCAACGGATTGGCTGAGTAAGTCTAAACCACGCTCAGTCTCTACCCTGATAGGCCCAACAGAGAGCGGGAACTAAAAACTGACAAGAGTATTTTAAGGAGAACTCATAACAATGGATTAGTTCTCTGTCTGCCCTGCGTGGTATTTCAGGGAGCCCGTATATACGAACATCATATTTACCATTGAAGTGTTTGCATTAATTAAAATACTAGTCTATTTAGAAGACGTGTATTGACCTCTTTTGTTCCTAATACCAGATTTGAATTGACGCAACTTAACAAAATACTCAAACAATGGACCTAAAAACTGTCTAGGGTACTGACAAACAGCCAGGCAAGTGTTATAAAGGGCCCAGAAGTGCTTTTGGGTGAACTTCCCCGTTAACATATAATTTGAGAAGGTTTTTGGGGAAAGTGTTTCTGTCTACCCACAAGACAGTTATCATTAGCATCTCTAACTGGCTACATATGGAGGAGTGATAAACAAACGCGCGCACCAAACAAGACAGACAGGGGCAATATTGCTGGAAATTAATTGGCAGATATTGTGTTACGTTTGGCTTTTTAAGCCAATAGTGGCTAACCAGGGGTGGTATAATGTGGCTTTGATTGGATAGCAGGCAGGAGTTTTATGTTTAAGACAGTTTGCGATATATCAAATGAAAAAATCCATGTACTTTCCGAATTAATTGGCGAGCTACTAATAGGTGGGCTGCGAGCTACTGGTAGTTCACGATCTACCTGTTGGAGACCCCTGCTGTAGGCTATATGTAAAAAACTAAAACAAAAACCACAATTTTAAAGTTTCAATCAATTTTATTTGTGCCTTTCGTACAACTATGAAACAGAAAGCATATGTGTTGGAACGCGGTAACAGCTTATTTTTATAAAGACAACAATTTAAATAATACCCTAACCACCAAGATTCAAGGTCAGCAAGATGCACGGTCAAATGATGAAAACATCAGTATATATCAGTATATAAATATCATTATAAGCGCTAAGTGTGCTTGATAAATAGTGAAACTCAGCACAAAAGCATTAATGGCATTATAATGAATATGTGTTGATATGACAGCAGTCAAAAATAGTCAATTATTGTCAGCTCGTGCTTACATGGTGTGTGTTCACGCAATGGCATCAGTTGGAGCATGTCCATGTCACATAAACAACGAAAGCTGGTGAGTGCGTTGTAGGGCCTGCTCTCTCAGTGATGACATTATGTGCTGATAATCATAGCATAATAGCATTGTCACCGGCTTGTTCTATCCAAACAGTGCCATCCCTTCCTCTCTCCTGTCTCACCGTTTCATTTGGTGGTTGCGCAGGCATCTGCTCAGTGCCCACCGTTCTGTTTTTTTTTTGTTTAGGCCTCTGAGTCGTAAACTCAGAATCAGAAGAATAATCAATCATCAGAGATGTCATATTCATTTCTTCCCCACAATCGGAGTCGTTTTCGTTCAGATTTTGTAGCAATTTATTTTTCTCCTCTGGTTACACGTAACATGCTGGTAGAAATGAGGTAAAACAGATTGAAGTTTTCCTACATTAAAGTCCCTGGCCACTAGGAGTGCCGCTTCTGGATGAGCATTTTCTTGTTTGCTTATGGCCTGATACAGCTCGTTGAGTGCGGTCTGTTTGTTATATTAAGATTCTAACAACGACAATGTGTTATATAGACTCATGTAGAAAAAGTCAAGGATAGAGGGGGGCAAAACCCCAAAAAATCCAGAGCAATACATTTTTTAAATTCATCTCAGGGCAGACACTAACCACAAGGCCACTGAGTTGGTACCTGATGTTGGGTGAATAAATGTGGCATACCTGAGGTCTATTATCAGGTACACTTTTGTGGAACTGCAGTGCGCACCAAGTGGGAGATACATTAGGGGAGAGACTTAATCTCATACACATTTTATGTCACTGCTGGATACAGCATGTACAGTACCTCCCGCTGGACATGACAGTGTTTCCCTGGCCGCTGTGGAAAACCCGGCTCAGTGGGTATGAGACATGAAAGACTTGCTCCATTACTGTTATTGCACTTCTTATGCAGAAAAGTATAGAACAATGGACTGTTGAAATGGCATAGGGCTTGTGTTATGGTTCTTATGAGTTTGAGGCAGATGAGGAAGGGACGTATGGAGGTAGAAGGAATGGATGGTCTTAGGTAATATGAGTAAGAATGAAAGGATATCCTTTTCACTGAGAACCTCTCTTGTCAATGTTAGCAGGTAGATATGGTCATAGAAGATTATTTATGTTTAAGACAACAGCTGTATCTTAGAGAAATGTTAGAGCATTACCCAAGGATACAAATAATATAGCAAATCACACTATACAAGTCAACAATATGGCATAGGCAGGCCAATACTAGGGTCCATAATCCAAATGAATATTGGTCCAAGTATGGTGCCCTGCTGCACTCCCATGGTTTATTAGACAAAAAAGGCTACCTCCTTTTGGTCCAGCTGCAGAGATGATTTAATGAGGTCTCTTAGGGCCGTCAACTGCTTCTTCTCCTCATCCTGGGTCTGCTTTATCTGTGGAGTGAGAACCATTCACATCACTAAAATTACTATCAAATCCCCGTCAGTGACAACCAAATCACCACATACACTGATTGGATAGATATAGATGAAAACATAAAGCCATACAGCAGAGAGACTAACAGCCTTTTCTCTAATCATTTTCACATTTAAAATGTAGATGTCACCTACGTTATACAGGTCAGCTGCAAGCTTCTCAATATACTGCTTCAACTTGTCTGCGGTTTTCAATCCATCTTGAAAAAAGCTGAAAAATAAAGAGTAGTCTGGTATTCTAGCATAAGCATATCAACATATATTTTTTAATACGTTTTGCTTTCACACTACAATGGTTTGCAGTCTGAAGTCCAGTTATCTAACATGGAGGAGTCTGACAAGTTGTTTGTCAATCACATATGCTTGACTATTCCAACACTTGTGTTGCCTTTGCCATGCAGCAATCTTACGGAAGTTGATATTTTAACCGCAACTGCTAACCCGACAACAACACTGATAGCCACATATTGTTGGTTGAGGGAGTACTAAGTAACCCAAAACCACTCAACTCTTCCACTCACAATACATCCCATAATCAGCATGGGGCACAAATAAACGGCTCCTATTTGATGATTTTAAGAGTGTAACTGATCTCGTACTATTTATCTTATGTGTACATCTGTTGAATGGTTGTTATTGTTTTTAGTGTTGTTTTAATGTTGCAAACCTGACTGACTACAAATGTCCCAATTGGGACAATAAAGATATTGATTGATTGATCAACACTGCCTTTTCTGGTGAAAACAAGGCATTTAAGTATGTGCTGGAAGTTCTGTCAGTATACTTACTTGCACTGTGCATGGTAGTACTTTATGAGGTTCTGGAGCAGGTCAACTCCCTTCTTAGTTTTGATCTCATTCACTTTGATCAGGTACTGTTGGGACATGAAGAAAGATGGAAGATATTTGCAATGAAAGCCTCTTACACAAAACAATTGTAAAAACTTTAGTTGCATAAGAAAGGCAGAAACCAGTCATCTAAACTTTTCAATTGTTTGGCACACAAATCACAAAGTATTTTTCCAATGTTTGCGTGTGCTTGGTGAATTGTAGTGTGCGCGTGCATGCTCGGTGAGTTGTGAGTAATAAGCAAGAATTGTCTTGTACATTCCTGGGCATCAAGCTGTTGTGGCTGATCAAGATGAAAAGGGTTTGTCACCAAGAGAGGTGTGGCTGAAGGACACGGTCATGGCTAGAAGGGATCCAGATTTTGTCAAATTAACATCAGATTTAACTTTTCGTAGCAGGTTAGGAGAACTTACGCAGCAGGTTAGGATAATTAACGTAGCAGGTTAGGAACATTAGGTTAAGGTTAGGAAAAGGGTTAGGGTTTGACAAAAGCTGGACATTTTGACAAAAGCTGGATACCTTCTAGCCATGACCGAAGGCCACCCCCTTCAGCACCATGGACAGGGCCACAAGCTAAAGGACAGAAGACAGGTGTTTCCAGTTCAGCACCATGGACAGGGCCACAAGATAAAGTACATAACAGGTGTTTCCAGTTCAGCACCATGGACAGGGCCACAAGCTAAAGGACAGAAGACAGGTGTTGCCAGTTCAGCACCATGGACAGGGCCACAAGCTAAAGGACAGAAGACAGGCGTTTCCAGTTCAGCACCATGGACAGAGTCACCCACCTCAGCACAGAAAACACATGCACTCACTACCGCACCACAGACAGTTGCACTGGTTGATTCACAGTGGACAGCGACACTCACTTTAGCACTGTGGAAAGCTCATAGGGGTAGAAAGAGGATTCTGGATGGATAGAACCCGTTTTAGCATGGAAATTACCTTCAAGGGGTTTCAACCTCTTAAAGTAGTCAACTGGGTTAAGGAAGGATCACATAATTTCATCCAGGTCATCAGGAGGAATCAGACAATTTATTATACTCCTGAGCAAACATTCCAGAACTGCAGGTATCAGTAAATGACCAACCTTGGCTTTGTACCTGTTCAGACAACACTATCCAGGTGGCAATCTGCTGTGCTAAAGGAGCTCCTTAAACCTGACCCCCAAAAAACATCTGGGTCAGATGGTTTAGAAAAAAAAATGTCTTTAAGGTTGCAGCCCCTATCAATGCGGAGCCTATCTCTCCTCTCTGGGGAGGTTCCCAGTGCTTGGAAGGCAACCACGGTGCATCCTTTATTTAAAGGGGGCGATCAAGCTGATTCTAAATGTTATACGTCAATTTCGAACTTTCCCTGTTTATCAAAAGTGTTGGAAAAACTTGTCAATAATCAACTGACTGGCTTTCTTGATGTCTATAGTATTCTCTCTGGAATGCAATCTGGTTTCCGCTCAGGTTATGGATGTGTCACTGCAACCTTAAAGGTCTTAAATGATGTCACCATTGCCCTTACTTCTAAGCAATTTTGTGCTGCTATTTTTATTGACTTGGCAAAGCTTTTGATATGGTAGACCATTCCATTCTTGTGGGTCGGCTAAGGAGTATTGGTGTCTCTGAGGGGTCTTTGGCCTGGTTTGCTAACTACCTTTTTCAAAGAGTGCAGTGTGCAAAGTCAGAACATCTGCTGTCTCAGCCACTGCCTGTCACCAAGGGAGTACTCCAAGGCTCGATCCCAGGCCCCACACTCTTCTCAATTTACATCAACAACATAACTCAAGCAATAGGAAGCTCTCTCATCCATTTATATGCAGATGATACAGTCATATTCAGCTGGCCCCTCCCCGGATTTTGTGTTAAACGCTCTACAACAAAGCTTTCTCTGCAGTTCACCATGTTCTGAACACCTCCAAAACAAAGGTCATCAATCTACACACAATACCCCATAATGACAAAGCGAAAACAGTTTTTTTTTTGTGAACAATAGTTTTTTATTGGGTCACAAGGGCAAAAATAAAATTACACTCTTCCCCTTTTTTAGTCTAAGATATAGAACCCCATAGGCACGAAACGCTGACCGTAGTCTACGATGTAGAACCCCATAAGCATGAAGCGCTGACCGTAGTCTAAGATATAGTACCCCATAGACAGGAAGCTCTGACCGTAGTCTAAGATATAGTAAGAATGAAGACCCTGGCAAATCAAATCAAGACGAAGTTCCTGAAAACTAAGAAGAGCCTTTGAGTTGAATATTGACCCCTTTTGCAGACCAGGCTCTAGACTCAAAAGGTTTATTACCGGAAGTAATAGCCTTGTTATTTACATTTACATTTTAGTCATTTAGCAGACGCTCTTATCCAGAGCGACTTACAGTTAGTGAACGCATACATTTTCATGGCCCCCCGTGGGAAACGAACCCACTACCCTGGCGTTGCAAGCGCCATGCTCTACCAACTGAGCTACACAGGGCCTCAGAGGGGTATTGAGATGCCATTTCCAGTTACCACTTACACACTTCTCAACCTTCCTAAAATTCTCTATTTTATTAGAAATAATAGTACCAAAATACAGCATGCATTTCTTATTAGATATACCAGAAAATAACACATCCTGCAATCTAGTAGGTGAAACAAGTTATTCCTCAATAAAGGCTGATGTAGACTGATCAAACCATGATCTAAGTGGGCGTAACTGGAAAGATTGGTGGTAAATACAAAAATTTGGTAATGCAAGTCCACTATTACACTTCTGTCGTTGTAACACCTCAAACCTAATCTTTGGATGTTTGCCATTCCAAAGGTATTTACGTATAAATGTATCAATCATTCCCCAATAACCTACTGGTGGAGGGAGTGGGATCATCATGCTCAGGAAACTAATACGTGGCAACACATTCATCTTTATAGGAATGACCCTAGTTTGTAAAGAAGCAGGCAACTTCTCCCAAACGGTTAAATCTCGTTCAACCTCCTTGTAAGCTTTCTCATAATTAAACTTCACCAGACCATGCAGAGATGTTTGTATACTACTACCCAAATACGTGAACTGTGTTTTCATAGGAATTGTTGAGGGAAGTGAAACTTTCTTTGCTGCTTCATTCAGTAACATTAATGCTGATTTTGTCCAATTTATCTTATACCCGGACAGCAATTTGAATTGTTCAAATATGGATAATAAAGATGAAATTGAATTCTGAATATCTGTCATGTATAGGAGAATATCATCCACATATACTGATATGAGAGGAATATTTAATTAATCAGTATAGGAGATGTAATTACATTCTGTCTTAGATGTTGTGTTAAAAGCTCTAGCAACAAAATGAATAACTTTGGGGATAGGCCATCTCCTTGTCTACATCCCTGAAAAATAGGGAATGAACTTGAGCGTATGCCATTAGTAGAAATCCTAGCAACAGGGTTAGCATATAACACACAAACCATATCGATAAAATTCTTTGCCAAACAACATTTCTCCAAGACAGCCCACGGGTACTGCCATTCAAGCCTGTCAAAAGCCTTCTCAGCATCTAGAGACAGCACAGCACACGGGGTGTCCAGCTGTTGTGTTTCATGTATTACATGCATTAATCAACGGACATTTATAAACCTTATCCTGTAAGCGAGAGATATCTTCTACTCGCAAATGAGATTGCTGGATAAATGCAATATCAATATTTTTACAGTGCAGTAAGTCTAAACATTTAGTTCTCTTAATTTTCGCATTCAAACCACGGACATTCAGGGGTAAAAGAGACAGCTTAACCATTGTCAAAAACAATCCTGACAATTACGAGTTGAACTGAAAGTGGTTCAGATTTACCTTCGATAAGCAGTGACATGTAACCAAGATAAGTGCAAATCCATGGGTTCAAACAGTGAAAACATTACCATATTTTTATAATCCGGTACTAAATAATAATAATAATGAAATAAAATAAACCATCCAAAGTAAAGTCAACAGGTTGAACCAGCCTCCATCTCCGCTAGCCAGCTAATGTCCTTAGCTCCAACAGTGAAGGAAAGTTTCCTCCATTTTCGGTCCCGGTACTAGGAGAAGTTCCTGTCCAAAACAAAGATAGATAAGAGTTGAGTAGTCAACTAAATGTTAGCTAGCCGGTAAACGGAATCTTTAGCTCCCTGTTGCTCCAGTTTCATTCTGCGACTCCTTGTCATCCTGCTGTCCGGGCCCTTCCTCGGCATCCGTAAAGGAAAGCACTCGCTTTCCTTCACCTGTCACCGGGGAGACTTCTCCGAAATTCCTCTGCCTCTTTTGCCGAGGTGAAGGAGAGCTGCTCACCATTGAAAGTAAGTCGCAGGGTGGCGGGATAGATCAGAAAAGATGGTATGCCCTGCGAGTACAATTCCCTCTGGACATCTGCGAATGCTTTCCTTCGCTGATTTGTGAAGGCCCTGTAGTCCGCATAAAAACGTATGGTTCTCCCGGCATCATGGATGGGTGCATTCTTTCTTGCTTCATGTGCTCCTTGTAGAATAGCGTTGCGGTCTTGATATCTGAGAACTTGAAGACCATGGTCCGGGGGTTGTCCTTCTTTGCATTTTGGTTGTAGATCCTGTGGGCCCATTCCATTTGAATCGAAGTAGTACCAAGTGACGGAATCCATTTGGGGAGGATTTCTTGCAGGAAATCAATTGCATCACCACCCTCCCTTGTTTGTAGCAATCCCCGTGACCCTCACGTTACTGCATCTGTCTTGAACCGCATCTTCTCAAGTTCCAAAGTGCTGGGGTTCACATCCCTTTTTAAGCCCCTTGCGGCAGTCTGAATGCGATCCACCTTTTCTATTAGCGCCCGAACTGATCCCATGTGGGTGCAACTTGATCCCTAACTCCTTGAATTGCTGCACCAACAGCACGTGTAACCACCGCCTCCATCCGGTCTTGTTGTTCAGCTAAAGCTAGCGAAATGGCGTTGCTAAAGCTAGCATCAGTAGTAACTTCGGTTTTCTGGCATTTAGTTCCCATTTTGGTGGGCGAACCCGTATGTTTCTTGACCCCAGACATTTCTAGTTTAAACTAGAAAGTATAAAAAGTAGATAACCTGAATAAAATATAGAATGAGGAATTGTTGGCAGTCTTCTGACCATTGCGTTTGTAGGTCAGTACGATTCGATCTTAGTCCTGTATTGACACTTTGCCTGTTTGATGGTTCGTCGGAGGGCATAGCTTGATTTCTTATAAGCGTCCAGGTTAGAGTCCCGCTCCTTGAAAGCGGCAGCTCTACCCTTTAGCTCAGTGCGGATGTTGCCTGTAATCCATGGCTTCTGGTTGAGGAATGTACGGTCACTGTGGGGACGATGTCATCGATGCACTTATTGATGAAGCCAGTGACTGATGTGGTGTACTCCTCAATGCCATCGGAAGAATCCCGGAACATATTCCAGTATGTGCTAGCAAAACAGTAGCTTAGCATATGCGTCATCTGACCACTTCTGTACTGAGCAAGTCACTGGGACTTCCTGCTTTAGTTTTTGCTTGTAAGCAGGAATCAGGAAGACAGAATTATGGTCAGATTTGCCAAATGGAGGGCGGGGGAGAGCTTTGTACGCGTCTCTGTGTGTGGTGTAAAGGTGGTCTAGAGTTTTTTTCCCTCTGGTTGCACATTTACCATGCTGGTAGAAATGAGGTAGAACGGATGTAAGTTTCCCTACATTAAAGTCCCCGGCCACTAGGAGCGCCGCCTCTGGATGAGCATTTTCTTGTTTGCTTATGGCCTTATACAGCTCGTTGAGTGCGGTCTTAGTGCCAGCATCGGTTTGTGGTGGTAAATAAACAGAAAAATATAGATAAACTCTCTTGGTAAATAGTGTGGTCTACAGCTTATCATGAGATAAGGCAAGCAAAACCTAGAGACTTCCTTAATATTAGATTTCGTGCACCAGCTGTTATTTACAAATATACACAGACCGCCACCCCTTGTCTTACCAGAGACAACTGTTCTACCTTGCCGATGCAAGATTCTCTGGTCTGATTAAACTAAGATTGAACTCTTCGGCCTGAATGCCAAGCGTCACTTCTGGAGGAAACCTGGCACCATCCCTACGGTGAAGCATGGTGGTGGCAGCAGCATCATGCTGTGGTGATGTTTTTCAGCGGCAGGGACTGGGAGACTAGTCAGGATCATTATGGGGTATTGTGTGTAGATTGAGAAGAAACAAATCTATTTAATACATTTTAGAATAAGGCTGTAACAAAATGTGGAAAAAGTCAAGGGATCTGAATACTTTCAGAATTTACTGTATACTCCTCTATAAACTGGCCATCTCTGTATACCCGACGCAAGACCCACTGGTTGATGCTTATTTATAAAACCCTCCCTCTTAGTTCTCCACAACCCCCTATCTGAGATACCTACTGCAACCCTCCTCCTCCACATACAACACCCATTCTGCCAGTCACATTCTGTTAAAGGTCCCCAAAGCACACACATCCCCATGTCGATCCTCTTTTCAGTTGGCTGCAGCTAGCGACTGGAAGGAGCTGCAAAAAACACTAAAACTGGACAGTTTTATCTCTATCTCTTGATTCAAAGACTCAATCATGGACACTCTTACTGACACTTGTGGCTGCTTCATCCGTGAAGAGCACACTTCTCCATCGTGCCAGTGGCCAACAAAGGTGAGCATTTTCCCACTGGCAACAGCTCTGGTGGACATTCCTGATGTCAGCATGCCAATTGCACGCTCCCTCAAAACTTGAGACAACTGTGGCATTTTGTGTGACAAAACTGCACATTTTAAAGGGGCCTTTTATTTTTCCCAGCACAAGGTGCACCTGTGTAATAATCATGCTGTTTATTCGGCTTCTTGATATGCCACACCTCTCAGGTGGATGGATTACCTTGGCAAAGGAGAAATGCTCAATAACAGGGATGTAAACAAATTTGTGCACAAAATTTGAGAGAAATAAGCTTTCTGTGCGTATGAAAAATGTCTGGGATCTTTTATTTCAGCTCATGAAACATGAGACCAACACTTTACATGTTGCTTTTTATATTTTGGTTCAGTGCAACTTACAGAGTGGAGGACGAGCAAGAAGATAAAGCAAAGCATGAGAAAAATGTGTGCATCCGTCCATATTTGTGTGTGAGCGTGCACATACAGTTGAAGTCAGAAGTTTACATACACCTTAGCCAAATACAAACTCAGTTTTTCCCAATTCATGACATTTAATCATAGTACAAATTCCCTGTCTTAGGTCAGTTAGGACCACCACTTTATTTTAAGAATGTGAAATGTCAGAATAATAGTAGAGAGAATTATTTCTTTCAGCTTTTATTTCTTTCATCACATTCCCAGTGGGTCAGAAGTTTACATACACTCAATTAGTATTTGGTAGCATTGCCTTTAAATTGTTTAACTTGGGTCAAATGTTTCGGGTAGCCTTCCACAAGCTTCCCACAATAAGTTGGGTGAATTTTGGCCCATTCCTCCTGACAGAGCTGGTGAAACTGAGTCTGGTTTGCAGGCCTCCTTGCTCGCACATGCTTTTTCAGTTCTGCCCACACATTTTCTATAGGATTCAGGTCAGGGCTTTGTGATGACCACTCCAATCCCTTGACTTTGTTGTTCTTAAGCCCCCGTGCTTTACGGTTGGGATGGTGTTCTTCGGCTTGCAAGCCGCCCCCTTTTCCTCCAAACATAACAATGGTCATTATGGCCAAACAGTTCTAGTTTTGTTTCATCAGACCAGAGGACATTTTTCCAAAAAGTAAGATCTTTGTCCCCATGTGCAGTTGCAAACCGTAGTTTATGGCGGTTTTGGAGCAGTGGCTTCTTCCTTGCTGAGCAGCCTTTCAGGTTATGTCGATATAGGACTTGTTTTACTGTGGATATAGGTACTTTTGTACCTGTTTCCTCCAGCATCTTCACAAGGTCCTTTGCTGTTGTTCTGGGATTGATTTGCACTTTTCACATCAAAGTACGTTCATCTCTAGGAGACAGAACATGTCTCTTTCCTGAGCGGTACAACGGCTGCGTGGTCCCATGGTGTTTATACTAGCGTACTATTGTTTGTAAAGATGAACGTGGTACCTTCAGGTGTTTGGAAATTGCTCCCAAGGATGAACTAGACTTGTGGAGGTCTACAAAAATAAATTCTGAGGTCTTGGCTGATGTCTTTTGATTTTCCCATGATGTCAAGCAAAGAGGCACTGAGTTTGAAGGTAGGCCTTGAAATACATCCACAGGTACACCTCCAATTGACTCAAATGATGTCAATTAGCCTATCAGAAGCTTCTAAAGCCATGACATCATTTTCTGGAATTTACCAAGCTGTTTAAAGGCAAAGTCAACTTAGTGTATGTAAACTTCTGACCCACTGGAATTGTGATACAGTGAATTATAAGTGAAATAATCTGTCTGTAAACAATTGTTGGAAAAATTACTTGTGTCATGCATAAAGTAGATTTGACCGACTTGTCAAAACTATAGTTTGTTAACAAGAAATTTGTGGAGTGGTTGAAAAACGAGTTCTAATGACTCCAACCTAAGTGTATGTAAACTTCCGACTTCAACTGTATTATCACATCCACACGCAAGCACACAAACTCACTGACCTCGCACATCTGTAACTGGAAGAGACGTCGCTCCTTCTCCATCTCCTCTGCAATCTCAGCTCCGGTAATCTCAGTCCGGATCATCCCATGTTGTTTAGCATGCTCCCGCTTCTCCTTCTCAATCTTGGTGCTGGGGGAAAAATCCAGAATTCCACTCAAGGTAAGGATCACAGTGAAATACAGTCACAGGAATACAATAGGTCATGCTTTCGATAATGGTTTGATAATGAGACATACAAATAAAATAAAAAGTTGACTCACAAGCACATAAGTAAACACAGTAAAGCAAACTTACAACTTGGCCTCATAGTCCTTCCATGCCTTGTCAAACGGCTTCTTTATATCCTAAAGATGAAGAGGAAAGAATCCAATCATATCATTGCAAATAAATCGATATTACAGTTTTGTACAACCGCTTTTTTGGAACTGTGGTTAATGGTACCTATAGAATAGGGGTCTTCAACCTTTACTAGCATTAGAGCTATTTAAAAAAAAATAGAAACATATCGCAACCTACTAATTTTTTTGGTAACACTTTTTGGTAGCTGACATAACTTGTCATAACCTGTTAGAATATGGTCAGAACACTGTCATGACACATATAGACCTGTTGTGACATACATTGCGTTATTTTATGGCTGTTATGACACCTACATAAGAGTGAAAAAACCCACAAAACCTACCACACAAGGCAAAACATTCCATTACACCATAGCCTACGTGTCAACAGTATGTTTATGTTGTATATTATTTAATTTTTTTGACCATATTAAATGATCATTGTAATGGCACACACATTGATGTCCACATGCACCTACCCCAATGCTCTGTTTATGATGACTGGGATGAATGCAGATTTCAGGAGCAGGACAAGACACCCTCTGATGACTGATACAAGGGCATGTATGTGATAGACCTATCTGGCTTATATCATTATGATGTCATAATGCTTCTTGACAGTGTCAAAGTGTTTCTTAGTCCAAGAAAAGTGACACAGGATGGCCATAATGCTTCATGACTGTAAAAAATTCAGTACAACAACAACAAAGGAGTTAAGAAACAAACTTTAAAACGAATGCAAACTTATTGGCAGGGAAAAAACTAATTTGAATAAATGTGGGTTTTGACACTATGTAGGTGTCATAACCAGCCGTAAAATAATGCAATATGTCACAACAGGTGTAAATATACCCAGTCAAATAACAACTCTGTCAATATACCCGGTCAAATAACAACTCTGCCAACATACCCGGTCAAATAACAACTCTGCCAATATACCCGGTCAAATGACAACTCTGCCAATATACCCGGTCAAATGACAACTCTGCCAATATACCCGGTCAAATGACAACTCTGCCAATATACCCGGTCAAATGACAACTCTGCCAATATACCCTGTCAAATGACAACTCTGCCAATATACCCAGTCAAATAACAACTCTGCCAATATACCCGGTAAAATAACAACTCTGCCAATATACCCGGTCAAATGACAACTCTGCCAATATACCCGGTCAAATAACAACTCTGCCAATATACCCGGTCAAATAACTACTCTGCCAATATACCCGGTCAAATAACAACTCTGCCAATATACCCGGTCAAATAACAACTCTGCTAATATACCCGGTCAAATAACAACTCTGCCAATATACCCGGTCAAATAACAACTCTGCCAGTATGGTCCTCTGTAGCTCAGCTGGTAGAGCACGGCGCTTGTAACGCCAAGGTAGTGGGTTCGATCCCCGGGACCACCCATACACAAAAATGTATGCACGCATGACTGTAAGTCGCTTTGGATAAAAGCGTCTGCTAAATGGAATATTATTATACCCGGTCAAATAACAACTTTAAGAGACCACATAAAATTGTATTTTGTATTTTCCCAAATTCTGTTTTCTCCGTTTTATATTTCCTGGTTTTGCATCTTTTTCTCTTTTTTATTCTCAATATTATAATTATTCATAGAGAAACAACAAAGTCCAAGGGGCAGGAGGACAATATAGTTATGTCAAGTAAGCCTACCAGTTAACAATAATTTGAGGTTTTGGGGGAAAGTCTGTCTACCCACAGGACCGTTATCATTAGCATCGCTAACTGGCTACATACAGAGTGATAGACAAACGCGCACTCCAAACAGACAGGGGCAACATTGCTGGAAATTAATTGGCAGATATTATGTTACGTTTGGCTTTTTAAGTCAATAGTGGCTAAGCAGGGGTCTCAGGATGCTTTACTGTTGGCATGACACAGGACTGATGGTAGCGCACACCTTGTCTTCTCCGGACAAGGTGTTTTCCGGATGCCCGAAACAATCGGAAAGGGTATTCATCAGAGAAAATGACTTTACCCCAGTCCTCAGCAGTCCAATCCCTGTACCTTTTGCAGAATATCAGTCTGTCCCTGATGTTTTCCTTCGTGGCTTCTTTGCTGCCCTTCTTGACACCTGGCCATCCTCCAAAAGTCTTCACCTCACTGTGCGTGCAGATGCACTCACACCTGTCTGCTGCCATTCCTGAGCAAGCTTTGCACTGGTGGTGCCCTGATCCCGCAGCTGGATCAACTTTCGGAGACGGTCCTGGCGCTTGCTGGACTTTCTTGGGTGCCCTGAAGCCTTCTTCACAACAATTGAACCTCTCTCCTTGAAGTTCTTGATAATCCGAGGTTAAGAATGTTAGATCACAATGCCATAAGCGAAAAAACTGCAGAAATCGCAACAGACGCCCTCCAAAATAGGCCGGCAGGCACAGGCCTTGTGAAGGTACTCTCCAGTTTAGCCCTGAACTATGCCCACCAGCAGAGATGGGCATTGGTCCAATACCGCTGTGCTCAGCAGAAGCACGAGCAAGAAACTACTGAGACGAAGGGACAGGTGGAGAGAACCAGGAAGCTAATGACAAAAGCTGACAAAGACAAGATGCTGCTAGCCGAGGAGCGGCATTTGAGAACGTATCAATTAAAAGATCTGGCAAACACTTATGACGAAGAACGAGCACAAACTCTCGAACAAATCAGTTTTCTACAAGAACAACTCGATATAGCCAACAGAAATACGACGAAATCCACGCAAAACTAGATTAATATGACGAGCTAGCTAAAAACAAGGGCGACCACTTGATGCCCTGCAAGCAGTTTTAAATGACACCACTCAAAGCAATATTGTTCTATTCAAAAAGCTGCAGACCAAAGACGATCCGTTAATGAACACCTTGACCAAGTTGGATGACAAAACAGCGTAACTCATTGAAGTCGCTGACTGAATGAACGATGAGAGAACCCAGGTATGGACGTTGGAAAACTTGACCTCTAAGCAAGCGGTGGACATCTCATCACTGAATCTCTCGCTCCACACTCAAGATCTCTCCCTGCAAACCATGACCGATAAGTATAAGGCCGAACGGAGCAACTGCGACACTCACTGGTCTAAAATAAATACCCTCAGCTCCCAAGTGGACTCTGCGATGCAGCAGAACACCACCCTTAGGTACCATCTGGAGGAACTCCAGAACAGCCATGCGCTACCGCGTGACTACCCAATTGAGCAACCAAGCTCGCAACCAGAGCCTGGGGAATGAAGGAGTGTAGACGACAGACTTTCAGACTTCACCTCTCTTAGGGGTCCCTCAGTCTTTTCATATTGGTCATTCGGCCCAGAGTAACATGGCGCCTCTTCACCAACAACATTTCAATTTGGCTCTTCCGCTTGGCCCTTTGGTCATAAATTCCCCACGGGAGGAAGCAGACACTCCCCGCGCACTTGGCACGGAACGCTTTGACAAAATCGTCAAAAACTTCAGCATCTTTGACCCCGTTCCAGGTAAGCCAAACGACACTGAGATGTTCTTAGCAGACATAGAGGATGCCTTGGATGGCTACCTGAACGCTACGAATACTGACAGGCTTTATCTGTTGAAGCGAACGTCCAACAGACACGTGACAAGGTTCATCCGTCTACAACAGCAACACGTGCAAAACGACTACGCTAAACTTGCCACAGCTTTGAAAATAGAATTCAGTGGTTCTGCGACTCGCAAACACAACAGCTCACTGGCTAACACTGTCAAACAAGCTCGGAATGAACACCCACAAGCCTACTATCATAGGCTTCTTTCAACTTACTTTGGCATGCTCACTGAAACAGGAATGGAAGATTTATTACCATTCAAACAAATGTTTCTGTCAAACATGTATCCCAACTTCATTAACTACTTGGGCCCTACTGCCCACGTTGGTTTGCCAATCTCGGCACTCGGAGAGCATGCAAGCACAGCTTTTGATGCATCCAAAGCGGGCCGGGCTAAGAGCCCGGACACCTCGGTTTTCAAGATTGGGGTGGGGGGTGCAATCACTCCAGTTGGAGGGTGCGGCATCAGGGACAGGAGCGGAAAAAGATGACGCACCAGGTGTGCGGCTACCACGTACATACCCTACTGATGACTACAGCAGTAACGATAGCTACAAAGAACGTCCCCAACCAAACAGGTCCCACAGAGGTCGATCTGGCCGCTACATTCCTGCATTTATCCCTCACAAATGGTCAGCGAACAAGGGTAACAAGCGTAACAAGAGTAACAAAGGGTTCGATGAAGACTAAAACGTAACTCAAAGCTCTCTAGAAGCTTTGATAAGAGATGTACTTCAGCGAAAAAAAAATTGAGAAAGAGGGAAAAGATAAGTCACCATGACTAGGCGCGAAATTGCCGGAGAATGGGTCCCCCGAAATTAAAATCATTTGCGAGGTCGGAAACGTTCACCTTAACCCCGCCCTCACTTAAATCCCAGTCCAGGGCCCGCTCGATCTAGACACAAGCCCATAAGCTTTGTCTAGAGACCATGATATAGATGTTGCGACGCACAAGGGAAGCAGCGTTGCAACAGCTGATTCCTCTCCCATTCCGATAGAGGACCCACTGGGTCACGAAGTACAGCAAGTTGTCTTAAAAATCGACATAGATAACTCACCACTCCGTTCTGCCAACCCACTCCACTTTGTTGGGAATATGACAAGAAATACCGACTCGAACAGGCCATACCTCAAAGCTGTCTTAGAGGACTGTCTGACCTGTGATGCACTGATAGATTCAGGTTCGACTATTTCCCTCATATCTCATACTTTGCTGGATGAACTCAAAAGGACAGTGGACCCAGCGAAACGTTGGTTAAAAACAGAACGATGCGACACTAAACTTCGAGGTTTCACTCAGGACACCTCGCCTCTTACCAAGCGTATCCTACTAAAACTGAACTTCGAAAGCGTGTCACTTGTCCATCCTGTGGACGTGACTAGCATGGACACCGAGCAGATGCTGATTGGGATGGATTTAATAGACCGTTTGATACCACTGATGGATTGGAAATCCAACCAAATCTGGTCACATTGGAAACAAGGAAGTATTTCACTACTTACTGGTTGTCTCGAACCTCCCGCATACAGTCTATGTGGGAGCGGACATTTTGGTGAGATTGGGTGTTAAACTTGATACCAAGCTCTGTCAGGTTGGATGGGGAGCGTTGCTGCACAGCTATTTTTAGGTATCTCCAGAGACGTTCGATCAGGTTTAAGTGCGGACTCTGGCTGGGCCACTCAAGGACATTCAGAGACTTGTCCCGAAGCCACTCCTGCGTTGTCTTGGCTGTGTGCTTAGGGTCGTTGTCCTGTTGGAAGGTGAACCTTCACCCCAGTCTGAGGTCCTGAGAGCTCTGGAGCAGGTTTTCATCAAGGATCTCTTTGTACTTTGCTCTGTTCATCTTTGCCTCGATCCTGACTAGTCTCCCAGTCCCTGCCGCTGAAAAACATCCCCACAGCATGATGCTGCCACCACCATGCTTCACCGTAGAGATGGTGCCAGGTTTCCTCCAGACGTGACGCTTGGCATTCTTTTTTCTCATGGTCTGAAAGTATTTAGGTGCCTTTTGGCAAACGCCAAGCAGGCTGACGTGCCTTTTACTGTGGAGTTGCTTCCATCTGGCCACTCTACCATGAAGGCCTGATTGGTGGCGTGCTGCAGAGATGGTTGTCCTTCTGGAAGGTTCTCCCATCTCCACAGAGGAACTCTAGAGCTCTGTCAGAGTGACCATCGGGTTCTTGGTCACCTCCCTGACCAAGGCCCTTCACCCTGATTGCTCAGTTTGGCCGGGCGGCCAGCTCTAGAAAGAGTCTTGGTGGTTCCAAACGTCTTCCATTTAAGAATGATTTGAGGCCACTGTGTTCTTGGGGACCTTCAATGCTGCAGAAATGTTTTGGTACTCTTCCCTAGATCTGTGCGACACAATCCTGTCTCGGAGCTCTACGGACAATTCCTTCGACCTCATGGCTTGGTTTCTGCTCTGACATGCACTGTGGGACCTTATATAGACAGGTGTGTGCCTTTCCAAATCATGTCCAATCAATTTAATTTACCACAGGTGGACTCCAATGAAATCTCAAGGATGATCAATGGAAACAAGATGCACCTGAGCTCAATGTCGAGTCTCATAGGAAAGGGTCTGAATACTTATGTAAATAAGCATTTCTAAAAACCAGTTTTCGCTTTGTCATTATGGGATATTGTGTTTAGGTTGATGAGGATTTTTTATTTTTTTATCCATTTTAAAATTAGGCTGTAATGTAACAAAATATGGAAAAAGTCAAGGGGTCTGAATACTTCCCGAAGGCACTGTAAAGAGATAGCCTCTTCTTAACTTGGAAGGATGGGTTGAGGTCCTGGATTCTATCCAATACAGATTAACAATCTTCACACTTTTAAAAGCAACAACTTACCCCCTTCACTCCTTTGAGGTCCCCTTTGAGAAGAGAGTCCAGGGTGAAGATCACATTATGGCTCAAGCTCTGGAGCTGTGGAGGAGACAGAAGAGGATGGTTCATTCTCAAAACGATAAAGAGGATATTTTGATGGGACTTTGGCAGCTCTAATCACAGTACTTGAATTTGAGGGGTCATGCACAGAGCCAGTGAAGGACTTATAACCAATCCACACTTTTCTCTTTCTGGTTCTTGGAGATTGCCTGGCTCAATTGACCCTTTGCTAAGCCCCGCCCCAGATTTTTGGGCAACTAATCACAGCGCTCCAATGGCTAGCAACTGTGGTCGAGTCCGACACCTCAGACAAATTCACGTTTGAAACACATGAAAGCCATTAAGGGCATTACAAAAACAGAGTTTTCATCCAAAATCAAATAGTTCAATTGGCTAAATAATTTAACAGTGCACCAGCGGTATTTGCTCCTGTGATTCCTGAAATGCAGAGCCTGTTGTATTCAAAACACAGTTTGAGATCATTGTGAGGGTATTTCACCAGTGATTAGAATAGGGAATTTGGCTTCCAGTAACCAAGGGGGCAGGACTTAGCGAAGGGTCAATTGGTAAAGCATGGCGCTAGCAATACCAAGGTCATGGATTCAATTCCCAAAGGAACCATCACAGACCACATCCTGGAAATGTATTCGTTGTTTTGGATAAAAGCATCTGCTAAGTGGCATATTTTAATTATATTAAGTTGCCAGGCTTGCATTTGATCCGCCAAAAAAAAACGAATTCCAGGGTTTTTCTTTATTTTTACTATTTTCTACATTGTAGAATAATAGTGAAGACATCACAACTATGAAATGACACATGGAATCATGTAGTAACCATAAAAGTGTTGAACAAATACAAATATATTTTATATTTGAGATTCTTCAAAGTAGCCACCCTTTGCCTCGATGACAGCTTTGCACACTCTTGGCATTCTCTCAACTAGCTTCATGAAGTAGTCACCTGGAATGCATTTTAATTAACAGGTGTGCCTCGTTAAAAGTGAATTTGTGGAATTTCTATCCTTCTTAATACATTTGAGCCAATCAGTTGTGTTGTGACAAGGTAGGGCTGGTATACAGAAGATAGCCCAATTTGGTAAAAGACCAAGTCCATATTATGTCAAGAACAGCTCAAAAAAGCAGAGAGAAATAACAGTCCATCATTACTTTAAGACATGAAGGTCAGTCAATCCGGAAAATGTCAAGAACTTTGAACGTTTCTTCAAGTGCAGTCGCAAAAACCATCAAGCGCTATGAAGAAACTGGCTCTCATGAGGACCACCTCAGGAATGGAAGACCCAGAGGATAAGTTCATTAGAGTTACCAGCCTCAGAAATTGCAGCCCAAATAAATGCTTCACAGAGTTCAAGTAACACACACATCTCAACATCAACTGTTGAGAGGAGACTGCGTGAATCAGGCCTTCATGGTCTAATTGCTGCAAAGAAACCACTACTAAAGGACACCAATAAGAAGAAGAGACCTGCTTGGGCCAAGAAACATGAGCAATGGACATTAGACCGGTGTAAATTTGTCCTTTGGTCTGGAGTCCAAATTGGAGATTTTTGGATCCAACTGCCGTGTCTTTGTGAGACGCGGTGTGGGTGAACGGATTATCTCCGCATGTGTAGCTCCCACCGTAAAGCATGGAGGAGGTGCTGTGATGGTGTGGGGGTGCTTTGCTGGTGACACTGTTTGTGATTTATTTAGAATTCAATACATAATTAATCAGCATGGCTACCACAGCATTCTGCAGCGATACGCCATCCCATCTGATTTGGGCATAGTGGGACTATCATTTGTTTTTCAACAGGACAATGACCCAACACACCTCCAGGCTGTGTAAGGGATATTTTACCAAGAAGGAGAGTGATGGAGTGGTGCATCAGATGACCTGGCCTCCACAATCCCCTGACCTCAACCCAATTGAGATTGTTTGGGATGAGTCGGATGGCAGAGTGAAGGAAAAGCAGCCAACAAGTGCTCAGCATTTGTGGGAACTCCTTCAAGCCTGTTGGAAAAGCATTCCAGGTGAAGCTGGTTGAGAGAATGCCAAGAGTGTTTACTTAAAAATCATACAATGTGATTTTCTGGATTTTTGTTTTAGATTCCGTCTCTCACAGTTGACGTGTACCTATGATAAAACGTACAGACCTCTACGTGCTTTGTAAGTAGGAAAACTTGCAAAATCGGCAGGGTATCAAATACTTGTTCTCCCCACTATATATATATGAAAATTACAGACCTCTCTCATCTTTTTAAGTGGGAGAACTTGCACAATTGGTGGCTGACTAAATACTTTTATATATATATGTATATATATATATATATATATATATATATATATATATATATATATATATAAATAATGGCACACAGTCTCAATGGACTAATCCATTGCGGAGGCCACGGGGATGTCACAGTCCAAGAAAAGGGGAGTGTGGCTAAAATGCAGAACTCCAGAATGCGCTCTCTCCCACCAATTTGTGCACATTCATTGTTTCATTATGCATTGTGTGAATTGTTTACCCTTTGATTATTAGTGTATCAATTCCCCATTACATACACTGAGTGTAAAAAACATTATGAACACCTGCTCTTTTCATGTCATCGACTGACTGTGAATCCAGGTGAATCCAGGTGAAAGCTATTTTTGATTTATTAGGATCCCCATTAGCCGCAGCATCGCCAATGGCGACAGCTATTCTTACTTGGGTCCGACATATAACGAAAAACACATTACAGACAAAATACTTTACGATTGACATACATTTAAAACATTAACATGTAGTGTGTGTGTGTGTGTGTGTGTGTGTGTGTGCATATATCAGTTACACATACATGTCAGTACATACAGTGGGGGAAGAAAGTATTTAGTCAGCCACCAATTGTGCAAGTTCTCCCACTTAAAAAGATGAGAGAGGTCTGTAATTTTCATCATAGGTACAGGTCAACTATGACAGACAAATTGAGAAAAAAAATTCCCAAAAATCACATTGTAGGATTTTTAATTAATTAATTTGCAAATTATGGTGGAAAATAAGTATTTGGTCACCTACAAACAAGCAAGATTTCTGGCTCTCACAGACCTGTAACTTCTTCTTTAAGAGGCTCCTCTGTCCTCCACTCGTTACCTGTATTAATGGCACCTGTTTGAACTTGTTTTCAGTATAAAAGACACCTGTCCACAACCTCAAAGAGTCACACTCCAAACTCCACTATGGCCAAGACCAAAGAGCTGTCAAAGGACACCAGAAACAAAATTGTAGACCTGCACCACGCTGGGAAGACTGAATCTGCAATAGGTAAGCAGCTTGGTTTGAAGAAATCAACTGTGGGAGCAATTATTAGGAAATGGAAGACATACAAGACCACTGATAATCTCCCTCGATCTGGGGCTCCACGCAAGATCTCACCCCGTGGGGTCAAAATGATCACAAGAATGAAAATCCCAGAACCACACGGGGGGACCTAGTGAATGACCTGCAGAGAGCTGGGACCAAAGTAACAAAGTCTACCATCAGTAACACACTACGCCGCCAGGGACTCAAATCATGCAGTGCAAGACGTGTCCCCCTGCTTAAGCCAGTACATGTCCAGGCCCGTCTGAAGTTTGCTAGAGTGCATTTGGATGATCCAGAAGAGGATTGGGAGAATGTCATATGGTCAGATGAAACCAAAATATAACTTTTTGGTAAAAACTCAACTCGTCGTGTTTGGAGGACAAAGAATGCTGAGTTGCATCCAAACAACACCATACCTACTGTGAAGCATGGGGGTGGAAACATCATGCTTTGGGGCTGTTTTTCTGCAAAGGGACCAGGACGACTGATCTGTGTAAAGGAAAGAATGAATGGGGCCATGTATCGTGAGATTTTGAGTGAAAACCTCCTTCCATCGGCAAGGGCATTGAAGATGAAACATGGCTGGGTCTTTCAGCATGACAATGATCCCAAACACACCGCCCGGGCAACGAAGGAGTGGCTTCGTAAGAAGCATTTCAAGGTCCTGGAGTGGCCTAGCCAGTCTCCAGATCTCAACCCCATAGAAAATCTTTGGAGGGAGTTGAAAGTCCGTGTTGCCCAGCGACAGCCCCAAAACATCACTGCTCTAGAGGAGATCTGCATGGAGGAATGGGCCAAAATACCAGCAACAGTGTGTGAAAACCTTGTGAAGACTTACAGAAAACGTTTGACCTGTGTCATTGCCAACAAAGGGTATATAACAAAGTATTGAGAAACTTTCGTTATTGACCAAATACTTATTTTCCACCATAATTTGCAAATAAATTCATTAAAAATCCTACAATGTGATTTTCTGGACATTTTTTTCTCATTTTGTCTGTCATAGTTGACGTGTACCTATGACGAAAATTACAGGCCTCTCCCTTCTTTTTAAGTGGGAGAACTTGCACAATTGGTGGCTGACTAAATACTTATTTTCCCCACTGTACACAGAAGTAGGTTACATGGGGGAGAGGTGTTGTGCCGTGAGGTGTTTCGTTATTTGTTTTTTGAAAAAAGGTTTGCTGTTCACTTGCACTATATTAGATGGAAGGGAGTTCCATGCACTCATGGCTCTGTATAATAACGTTCCCTTGAATTTGTTCTAGACCTGTCGACTGTGAAAAGACCCCTGGTGGCATGTCTGGTGGGGTAAGTGTGTGTGTCAGTGCAGTGTGTAAGTTGACTATGCAAAAAATCAGGGATTTCCAATAAATGATTGATTAATATGAAAACAAGAAGTGACGCAGTCAGTCTTTCCTCAACTCTTAGCCAAGAGAGACTAGCATGCATAGTATTAATATTAGCCCTCTGATTACAGTGAAGATCAAGACGTTCCGCTCTGTTCTGGGCCAGCTGCAGCTTAACTAGATCTTTCCTTGCAGCACTTTTATTTTATTTTCATTGATTTAACCTTTATTTAACTAGGCAAGTCAGTTAAGAACAAATTCTTATTTACAATGACTGCCTACCAAATAGCACATTTTTATTTATTTTTTATAGGACAAAACACACATCACGACAAGAGAACTAAGACAACAACATAGCATGGCAGCAACACATGACAACACAGCATGGTAGCAACACAACATGGTAGCAGCACAAAACATGGTACAGACATTATTGGGCACAGACAACAGCACAAAGTGCAAGAAGGTAGAGAGAACAATACATCACGCGAAGCAGCCACAACTGTCAGTAAGAGTGTCCATGATTGAGTCTTTGAATGAAGAGATGGAGATAAAACTGTCCAGTCTGAGTGTTTTTTGCAGTTCGTTCCAGTCACTAGCTGCAGCGAACTGAAAAGAGGAGCGACCCAGGGTTGTGTGTGCTTTGGGGACCTTTAACAGAATGTGACTGGCAGAACAGGTGTTGTATGTGGAGGATGAGGGCTGCAGTAGGTATCTCAGATAGGGGGAGTGAGGCCTAAGATAGTTTTATAATTAAGCATCAATCAGTGGTTCTTGTGACGTGTATACAGAGATGACCAGTTTACAGAGGAGTATAGAGTGTAGTGATGTGTCCTATAAGGAGCATTGGTGGCAAATCTGATCGAATGGTAAAGAACATCTAGCCGCTAGAGAGCACCCTTACCTGCCGATCTATAAATTACGTCTCCATAATCTAGCATGGGTAGGATGGTCATCTGAAACCAAGTCTAGATTTAACCTTAGCCTGCAGCTTTGGTATGTGCTGAGAGAAGGACTGTGTACCGTCTAGCCATACTCCCAAGTACTTGTATGAGGTGACTACCTCAAGCTCTAAACCCTCAGAGGAAGTAATCACACCGGTGGGGAGAGGGGCATTCTTCTTACCAAACCACATGACCTTTGTTTTGAAGGTGTTCAGAACAAGGTTAAGGGCAGAGAAAGCTTGATGGACACTGAGAAAGCTTTGTTGTAGAGCATTTAACACAAAATCCGGGGAGGGCCCAGCTGATTATAAGACTGTATCATCTGCATATAAATGGATGAGAGAGCGCTTCCTACTGCCTGAGCTATGTTGTTGATGTAAATTGAGAAGAGCGTGGGGCCTAGGATCGAGCGTTGGGGTACTCCCTTGTAGACAGGCAGTGGCTGAGACAGCAGATGTTCTGACTTTATACACTGCACTCTTTGAGAGAGGTAGTTAGCAAACCAGGCCAAAGACCCCTCAGAGAAACACCAATACTCCTTAGCCGGCCCACAAGAATGGAATGGTCTACCGTATCAAAAGCTTTGGCAAAGTCAATAAAAATAGCAGCACAACATTGCTTAGAATCAAGGGCAATGGTGACATCAATTAGGACCTTTAAAGTTGCAGTGACACATTCATAACCTGAGCCGAAACCAGACGGCATACCAGAGAGAATACTATAAACATCAAGAAAGCCAGTCAGTTTATCCAACACTTTTGATAAACAGGGCAAAATAGAAAATGGCCTATAACAGATAGGATCAGCTTGATCTCCCCCTTTAAATAAAGGATGCACCGTGGCTGCCTTCCAAGCAATGGGAACCTCCCCAGAGAGGAGAGAGGTTAAAAAGGTCAGAGATAGGCTTGGCGATGATAGGGGCAGCAACCTTAAAGAAGAAAGGGTATAAACCATCTGACCCAGATGTTTTTTGGGGGTCAGGTTTAAGGAGCTCCTTTAGCACCTCGGACTCAGTGACCACCTGCAGGGAGAAACTTTGTAGCGGGGCAGGGGAAAAAGAGGGAGGAGCATCGGGGATAGTCGCATTAGAAGGGCTGGGAGATGAGGAAATGTTGGATGGGCAACGAGGCATGGCTGAGTCAAACAGGAATCCTGACTTAATGAAGTGGTGATTAAAGAGCTCAGCCATGTGCTCCTTGTCAGTAACAACCATATCATCAACATTAAGGGACACAGGCAGCTGTGAGAAGGAGGGTTTACTCTCCAGGTCTTTAACTGTTATCCAGAACTTCTTGGGGTTAGACCCACAGAGAGAGAACTGCTCCTTAAAGTAACTAACTTTGGCCTTCCGGATAGTCTGAGTGCACTTATTTCTCATTTGCCTGAACGAGAGCCAGTCAGCCTGAGTATGCGTGTGCCGAGCCTTTCACCAAATGGAATTCTTGAGGTGGAGTAACTGCCAGATCACGGTCGAACCAGGGGCTGAACCTGTTTTGCAAATCAGGACAGGTTGTTTAACTGAGCAGCCAGTTGGTAGAGCATGGTGTTTGCAACGCCAGTGTTGTGGGTTCGATTCCCAGGGGGGGCCAGTATTAAAATTAAAATAATTAAAAAATTAAAATAATGTATGCACTCACTAACTGTAAGTCGCTCTGGATAAGAGCGTCTGCTAAATGACTAAACATTTTAAAAAATTACGAACACAGGCTGTAAAACAGTGATCACTAAGGTCATTACAGAAAACACCAGACTGATACCTATCAGGATTATTTGTGAGGATAACATCAAGGAGAGTAGCCTTTTCTGTGTGTTTGGAGTCATGCCTTTTGGGATTGGTAATAATCTGAGAAAGATTTAGGGAGTCCCATTGCTTTAGGACTTGGTCAGGTGGTTTAAGCATGTCCCAGTTTAGGTCACCTAGCAGGACAAATTCAGACTTAGTGTAAGGGGCCTGGAGAGAGCTTAGGGCATTTAGGGTACAGGCCGGTGCTGATGGTGGACGATAACACCCAGCAACAGTCAACAAATAACTATTTGGAAGCGTAATGCTTAAAACCAGCAAATCAAATTGTTTGGGGACAGACTTGGTGGAGACAACTGAGCACTGAAGGTGTTCCTTGGTAAAGATTGCCACTCCACGACCTTTGGAAGATCTGTCTTGCCGAAAAAGGTTATAACCAGAAAGGTTAAGATCAGTGTTCAAAACACTCTTTCTTAACCACGTCTCAGTAATGACCAACACATCTGGATTGGAGCTGTGAACCCACACTTGCAATTGATCAGTTTTAGGTAATAAGCTTCTAGTGTTAACGTGCAGAAAACCCAGGCTTTTATGAGATTAGAAATCAGTGAAGCAGATATCAGAGCACAAGTCATAATTGGGGCTAGCAACAGTAGATGGGCCAGGGTGTACATGCACATTTCCAGATATCATCAGCAGTAATACAATCAGGGCACGGCAGAGACATTTGAATGTGCATTAGATGGCAACAAGATCATATTGTACAGCAATTTCATCAGGTAACATGAATATAAAGCCGGCGAGAGGTGGTTAGAATAGGATGGGAGGCCAATAGTCTGTGTAACAAATAGAGAGTCAGAGTCCCGAGTGTGGGAACAAACAGTCTGTCCCACGGTTGGGAAAACAAGCAAATTCATACAAAGCAAACAGGAGTCATGAGGCAAATAGCATAAAGCACAAGAAAAAAATATAACTAGCCATTGTAAGTTCAGAGTCACTCGCCCCTACAGTGCGTGTGTGCTGGAGGTGAGCGAAAGCTCGGGAGAGAGGGGGGAGTGTGGCAGGGGTACCTGTACCAGACAGGGAGAGACAGGCCGGGCAGATGGTGAACAGATCGCCAGGTAGAATCAAAGCTGCAGTGCAGCAGGCAACGGGAGTAGGTGTCACACCCACTTGGGAGAAACTTTTTCGGGAGGCAGATTCCTTGTAGAAAATCCCAGCTAGCAAGTCTCTGCCCACCGTTTTTTTCCCACGTGGAAAAGGAGGTCGTTAGCTAGCTATATCTCTTCAGTTTCGGCGAATGGTCCTTCACGATGTCCAAACAAAGTTGTCCTGTGGCTGTTGTATTTTGGAGATTGAGAGGAGGATATCTTCTGATGTGATCAAAGCAACAATATTGTTTCTTATTGAGGTAATTTACAATTGAAATGTCCTGGCTGCATATCATTTCAAAACAGAGATGAATCCAGGGAGTACTGTATTGTAATGACCTCTGCACAGATGGAGGGGGCTTCAAAGGCCTCTGCATTTGGGTGGGGGGGGGGGCTGTGAAACTCTCCTGCCAATGTTGGGCTCAAGGGCTTTGACACATCTCACTTCACAACTCAGTGCTAATTGATCTGATCTGTTCTGTCCTAGCAAGCTTGGTAGCATTAACGTAGCATTCAGTCCTTATAAAGTAAAATATATCATTGTAATTTATTGACCATATGACTGGACAATAATCAAGATAAGATAAAACTAGAGCCTGAAGGACTTGCTTTCTGGAGTGTGGTGTCAAAAAAGCAGAGCATATCTTTATTACGGACTGACCTCTCCCAATCTTTACAACCATTGAATCTATATGTTTTGACAATGACAGTTTACAATGTAAGGTAGCACCAAGTATATGGCACCACAACAAACCTGCCAAAAGAGGGCCGCCCACCAAAAAACGAATGGACCAGGCAAGGAGGGCATTAATCAGAGAAGCAAAAAAGAGACCAAAGATAACCCTGAAGGAGCTGCAAAGCTCCACAGCGGAGATTGGAGTATCTGTCCATAGGACCACTTTAAGCCGTACACTCCACAGAGCTGGGCTTTACGGAAGAGTGGTCAGAAAATAGCCATTGCTTAAAGAAAAAAATAAGCAAACACGTTTGGTGTTCGCCAAAAGGCATGTGGGAGAGTCCCCAAACATATGAAAGAAGGTACTCTGGTCAGATGAGACTAAAATTGAGCTTTTTGGCCATCTCAATTTCTGGCGCAAACCCAACACTGCTCATCACCCCGAGAACACCATCCCCACAGTGAAGCATGGTGGTGGCAGCATCCATGCTGTGGGGATGTTTTTCATCAGCAGCGACTGGGAAACTGGTCAGAATTGAAGGAATGATGGATGGTGCTAAATACAGGGACATTCTTGAGGGATACCTGTTTCAGTCTTCCAGAGATTTGAGACTGGGACGGAGGTTCACCTTCCAGCAGGACAATGACCCTAAGCATACTGCTAAAGCAACACTCAAGTGGTTTAAGGGGAAACATTGAAATGTCTTGGAATGGCCTAGTCAAAGCCAGGACCTCAATCCAATTGAGAATCTGTGGTATGACTTAAAAGATTGCTGTACACCAGCGGAACCCATCCAACTTGAAGGAGCTGGAGCAGTTTTGCCTTGAAGAACGGGCAACAATCCCAGTGGCTAGATGTGCCAAGCTTATAGAGACATACACCAAGAGACTTGCAGCTGTAATTGCTGCAAAAGGTGGCTCTACAAAGGATTGACTTTGGGGGGGTGAGTAGTTATGCACGCTTAAGTTTTCTGTTTTTTTTTGTCTTATTTCTTGTTTGTTCCACAAAAAATCCAGGTTGTAAGGCAACAAAATAGGAAAAATGCCAAGGGGGGTGAATATTTTCGCAAGCCACTGTAGCTCTGAATCCACGATATGGCAGAGGTTGAAAAGCCATAAAAAATACGTTCTCTCAACAATAGGTTATGGTCAATAATATCAAAGGCTGCACTGAAATCTAACATTACAGCTCCCACAATCTTCTTATCCGACCGCAAGGCACTACAGAGGGTAGTGCGTAAGGCCCAGTACAACACTGGGGCCAAGCTTCCTGCCATCCAGGACCTCTATACCAGGCGGTGTCAGAGGAAGGCCCTAAAAATTGTCAAAGACTCCAGCCACCCTAGTCATTGACTGTTCTCTCTGCTACCAAACGGCAAGCGGTACCGGAGGGCCAAGTCTAGGTCCAAAAGGCTCCTTAACAGCTTCTACCCCCAAGCCATAAGACTGCTGAACAGTTAATCAAATGGCAACCCGGACTATTTGCATTGATCCCACTCTTTTTTATGCTGCTGCTACTGGCTGTTTATTATCTATGCTTAGTCACTTTACCCCTACCTACATGTACATATTGCCTCGACTAACCTTATACCCCAGCACATTGACTCGGTACTGGTACACCCCTTTATATAGCCTCGTTATAGTTTTATTGTGTTTTTTAGTAGTTCTTTTTATTTATTTGTATTTCTTTCTTTTTTTGGGGGGGGGGGGGGGGGGGGTTAGATCAGCTTTAATATTGCAGATAGATTGTAACTTCCATCAATGTAATTGTCTGCATCACTTCCAATCCACCATGTTTTTTCTTTCTCGCAAATATATATATATATATATATATATTTTTTTATATATACATACATACATACATACATACATACATACATACATACATACATACATACATACATACATGTACACATACATGCATATAAATGCAAATGCATATACAGTGGGGAGAACAAGTATTTGATACACAATGTTTTCCTACTTACAAACCATGTAGAGGTCTGTAATTTTTATCATAGGTACACTTCAACTGTGAGAGATGGAATCTTAAACAAAAATCCAGAAAATCACATTGTATGATTTTTAAGTAATTAATTTGCATTTTATTGCATGACATAAGTATTTGATCACCTACCAACCAGTAAGAATTCCGGCTCTCAAAAACCTGTTAGTTTTTCTTTAAGAAGCCCTCCTGTTCTCCACTCATTACCTGCATTAACTGCACCTGTTTGAACTTGTTACCTGTATAAAAGACACCTGTCCACACACTCAATCAATCAGACTCCAACCTCTCCACAATGGCCAAGACCAGAGAGCTGTGTAAGGACATCAGGGATAAAATTGTAGACCTGCAAGACTGGGATGGGCAACAGGACAATAGGCAAGCAGCTTGGTGAGAAGGCAACAACTGTTGGCGCAATTATTAGAAAATGGAAGAAGTTCAAGATGACGGTCAATCACCCTCGGTCTGGGGCTCCATGCAATATCTCACATCGTGGGGCATCAATGATCATGAGGAAGGTGAGGGATCAGCCCAGAACTACACGGCAGGACCTGGTCAATGACCTGAAGAGAGCTGGGACCACAGTCTCAAAGAAAACCATTAGTAACACACTACGCCATCATGGATTAAAATCCTGCAGCGCACTCAAGGTCCCCCTGCTCAAGCCAGCGCATGTCCAGGCCCGTCTGAAGATTGCCAATGACCATCTGGATGATCCAGAGGAGGAATGGGAGAAGGTCATGTGGTCTGATGAGACAAAAATTGAGCTTTTTGGTCTAAACTCCACTCGCCGTGTTTAGAGGAAGAAGAAGGATGAGTACAACCCCAAGAACACCATCCCAACCGTGAAGCATGGAGGTGGAAACATCATTCTTTGGGGATGCTTTTCTGCAAAGGGGACAAGACGACTGCACCGTATTCAAGGGAGGATGGATGGGGCCATGTATCGCGAGATCTTGGCCAACAACCTCCTTCCCTCAGTAAGAGCATTGAAGATGGGTCGTGGCTGGGTCTTCCAGCATGACAACAACCCGAAACACACAGCCAGGGCAACTAAGGAGTGGCTCCGTAAGAAGCATCTCAAGGTCCTGGAGTGGCCTAGCCAGTCTCCGGACCTGAACCCAATAGAAAATCTTTGGAGGGAGCTGAAAGTCCGGATTGCCCAGCGACAGCCCCGAAACCTGAAGGATCTGGAGAAGGTCTGTATGGAGGAGTGGGCCAAAATCCCTGCTGCAGTGTGTGCAAACCTGGTCAAGACCTACAGGAAACGTATGATCTCTGTAATTGCAAACAAAGGTTTCTGTACCAAATATTAAGTTCTGCGTTTCTGATGTATCAAATACTTATGTCATGCAATAAAATGCAAATTAATTATTTAAAAATCATACAATGTGATTTTCTGGATTTTTGTTTTAGATTGCGTCTCTCACAGTTGAAGTGTACCTATGATAAAAATTACAGACCTCTACATGCTTTGTAAGTACGAAAACCTGCAAAATCGGCAGTGTATCAAATACTTGTTCTCCCCACTGTATATACACATATCCTTTAAAAATATATATTTCCCTTTATTACTTTCCAACCCCACCACCCCTTCACTAATTGGAGTAAACTAGTGAACAACAACGCTTAGGCCTCTACTTCCAGCTTATATATACTATATACATTTCATGGAAACCTTAATGACTTGGAGAAGATCTGCAAAGAGGAGTGGGACAAAATCCCTCCTGAGATGTGTGCAAACCTGGTGGCCAACTACAAGAAACGTCTGACCTCTGTGATTGCCAACAAGGGTTTTGCCACCAAGTACTAAGTCATGTTTTGCAGAGGGGTCAAATACTTATTTCCCTCATTAAAATGCAAATAAATTTCTAACATTTTTAACATGCGTTTTTCTGTTTTTTTGTTGTTGTTATTCTGTCTCTCACTGTTCAAATAAACCTACCATTAAAATTATAGACTGATCAATTCTTTGTCAGTGGGCAAACGTACAAAATCAGCAGGGGATCAAATATTTTTTTCCCTCACTGTAGTACTTGGTGGCAAAACCCTTGTTGGCAATCACAGAGGTCAGACGTTTCTTGCAGTTGGCCACCAGGTTTGCACACATCTCAGAAGGGATTTTGTCTCACTCCTCTTTGCAGATCTTCTCCAAGTCATTAAGGTTTCGAGCCTGACATTTGGCAACTCAAACCTTCAGCTCCCTCCACAGATGTTCTATGGGATTAAGGTCTGGAGACTGGCTAGGCCACTCCAGGACCTTAATGTGCTTCTTCTTGAGCCACTCCTTTGTTGCCTTGGCCGTGTGTTTTGGGTCATTGTCATGCTGGAATACCCATTCACGACCCATTTGCAATGTCCTGGCTGAGGGAAGGAGGTTCTCACCCAATATTTGACAGTACATGGCCCCGTCCATCGTCCCTTTGATGCGGTGAAGTTGTCTTGTCCCCTTAGCAGAAAAAACACCCCCAAAGCATAATGTTTCCACCTCCATGTTTGACGGCGGGGATGGTGTTCTTGGGGTCATAGGCAGCATTCCTCCTCCTCCAAACACAGCGAGTTGAGTTGATGCCAAAGAGCTCGATTTTGGTCTCATCTGACCACAACACTTTCACCCAGTTCTCCTCTGAATCATTCAGATGTTCATTTGCAAACTTCAGACGGGCCTGTATATGTGCTTTCTTGAGCAGGGGGACCTTGCGGGCGCAGCAGGATTTCAGTCCTTCACGGCGTAGTGTGTTACCAATTGTTTTCTTTTTGACTATTACATTTTAGTCATTTAGCAGACGCTCTTATCCAGAGCGACTTACAGTTAGTGAGTGCATACATTATTTTTTATACTGGCACCCCGTGGGAAACGAACCCACAACCCTGGCGTTGCAAACGCCATGCTCTACCAACTGAGCTACATCCCTGCCGGCCATTCCCTCCCCTATCCTGGACGACGCTGGGCCAATTGTGCGCCGCCCCATGGGTCTCCTGGTCGCGGCCAGCCACGACAGAGCCTGGATACGAACCAGGATCTCTAGTGGCACAGCTAGCACTGCGATGCAGTGCCTTAGACCACTGCGCCACTCGGGACTATGGTCCCAGCTGCCTTGAGATCATTGACAAGATCCTCCTGTGTAGTTATGTCCCTTTTGTCTTCAAGAGAGCGAGAGTTGCACCCCTTCTCAAAAAACCAACACTCGATCCCTCTGATGTCAACAACTACAGACCAGTATCCCTTCTTTCTTTTCTCTCCAAAACTCTTGAGCGTGCCGTCTTTAGCCAACTCTCTTACTATCTCTCTCAGAATGACCTTCTTGATCCAAACCAGTCAGGTTTCAAGACTGGTCATTCAACTGAGACTGCTCTTCTCTGTGTCACGGAGGCTCTCCGCATTGCTAAAGCTAACTCTCTCTCCTCTGCTCTTGTCCTTCTAGACCTGTCTGCTGCCTTTGATACTGTGAACCATCAGATCCTCCTCTCCACCCTCTCCGAGCTGAGCATCTCCGGCGCGGCTCACTCTTGGATTGCGTCCTACCTGACCGGTCGCTCCTACCAAGTGGTGTGGCGAGAATCTGTCTCCGCACCACGTGCTCTCACCACTGGTGTCCCCCAGGGCTCAGTTCTAGGCCCTCTCCTATTCTCGCTATACACCAAGTCACTTGGCTCTGTCATATCCTCACATGGCCTCTCCTATCATTGCTACGCAGACGACACACAACTAATCTTCTCCTTTCCCCCTTCTGATAACCAGGTGGCAAATCGCATCTCTGCATGTCTGGCAGACATATCAGTGTGGATGACGGATCACCACCTCAAGCTGAACCTTGGCAAGACGGAGCTGCTCTTCCTCCCGGGGAAGGACTGCCCGTTCCATGATCTCGCCATCACGGTTGACAACTCCGTTGTGTCCTCCTCCCAGAGTGCGAAGAGCCTTGGCGTGACCCTGGAAAACTCGTTCTCCGCTAACATCAAGGCGGTGAACCGATCCTGTAGGTTCATGCTCTACAACATTCGGAGAGTACGACCCTGCCTTACACAGGAAGCGGCACAGGTCCTAATCCAGGCACTTGTCATCTCCCGTCTGGATTACTGCAACTCGCTGTTGGCTGGGCTCCCTGCCTGTGCCATGAAACCCCTACAACTCATCCAGAATGCCGCAGCCCGTCTGGTGTTCAACCTTCCCAAGTTCTCTCACGTCACCCCGCTCCTCCGCACACTCCACTGGCTTCCAGTTGAAGCTCGCATCTGCTACAAGACCATGGTGCTTGCCTACGGAGCTGTGAGGGGAACGGCACCTCCGTACCTTCAGGCTCTGATCAGTCCCTACACCCAAACGAGGGCATTGCGTTCGTCCACCTCTGGCCTGCTGGCCCCCCTACCTCTGCGGAAGCACAGTTCCCGCTCAGCCCAGTTAAAACTGTTCGCTGTTGGTGGAACAAGCTCCCTCAAGACGCCAGGATAGCGGAGTCACTCACCAACTTCCGGAGAAACTTGAAACCGCACCTATTTAAGGAATACCTGGGATAGGATAAGGTAATCCTTCAACCCCACAATCCCCACCCCCCAAAAAAATATACATATTGTAAAGTGGTTATCCCACTGGCTATAAGGTGAATGCACCAATTTGTAAGTCGCTCTGGATAAGAGCGTCTGCTAAATGACGTAAATGTAAATGTAAATGTAGTTCTGGGCTGATTCCTCACCGTTCTCATGATCATTACAACTCCACGAGGTGAGATCTTGCATGGAGCCGCAGGCCGAGGGAGATTGACAGTTCTTTTGTGTTTCTTCCATTTGCGAATAATCGCACCAACTGTTGTCACCTTTCACCAAGCTGCTTGGTGATGGTCTTGTAGCCCATTCCGGCCTTGTGTAGGTCTACAATCTTGTACCTGACATCCTTGGAGAGCTCTTTGGTCTTGGCCATGGTGGAGAGTTTGGAATCTGATTGATTGATTGCTTTTGCGGACATGTGTCTTTTATACAGGTAACAAACTGAGATTAGGAGCACTCCCTTTAAGAGTGTGCTCCTAATCTCAGCTCGTTACCTGTATAAAAGACACCTGGGAGCCAGAAATCTTTCTGATTGAGAAATTGCAAATCAATTTATAACATTTTTTACATGCCTTTTCTGGATTTTTTTGTTGTTATTCTGTCTCTCACTGTTCAAATAAACCTACCATTAAAATTATAAACTGATCATTTCTTTTTCAGTGGGCAAATGTACAAAATAAGCAGGGAATCAAATACTTTTTTCCCTCACTGTAGTACTTGGTGTATAACCTACATTTGAAGTCGGAAGTTCACATACACCTTAGCCAAATACATTTAAACTCAGTTTTTCACAATTCCTGAGATTTAATCCTAGTAAAAATTCCCTGTCTTAGGTCAGTTAGGATCACCACTTTATTTTAAGAATGTGAAATGTCAGAATAATAGTAGAGAGAATGATTTATTTCAGCTTTTATTCACAAGGTCCTTTGCTGTTGTTCTGGGATTGATTTGCACTTTCGCACCAAAGTACGTTCATCTCTAGGAGACAGAACGCGTCTGCTTCCTGAGCGTTATGACGGCTGATTTATTTTGATGTTCCCATGATGTCAAGCAAAGAGGCACTGACTTTGAAGGTAGGCCTTGAAATATATCCACAGGTACACCTCAAATTGACTCAAATGATGTCAATTAGCCTATCAGAAGCTTCTAAAGACATTACATTATTTTCTAGAATTTTCCGAAATATTTAAAGGCACAGTCAACTTAGAGTATGGTACAGTGGGGAAAAAAAGTATTTAGTCAGCCACCAATTGTGCAAGTTCTCCCACTTAAAAAGATGAGAGAGGCCTGTAATTTTCATCATAGGTACACGTCAACTATGACAGACAAAATGAGAAAAAACAATCCAGAAAATCACATTGTAGGATTTTAAATGAATTTATTTGCAAATTATGGTGGAAAATAAGTATTTGGTCAGTAACAAAAGTTTCTCAATACTGTGTTATATACCCTTTGTTGGCAATGACACAGGTCAAACGTTTTCTGTAAGTCTTCACAAGGTTTTCACACACTGTTGCTGGTATTTTGGCCCATTCCTCCATGCAGATCTCCTCTAGAGCAGTGATGTTTTGGGGCTGTCGCTGGGCAACACAGACTTTCTACTCCCTCCAAAGATTTTCTATGGGGTTGAGATCTGGAGACTGGCTAGGCCACTCCAGGACCTTGAAATGCTTTTTACGAAGCCACTCCTTCGTTGCACGGGCGGTGTGTTTGGGATCATTGTCATGCTGAAAGACCCAGCCACGTTTCATCTTCAATGCCCTTGCTGATGGAAGGAAGTTTTCACTCAAAATCTCACGATACATGGCCCCATTCATTCTTTCCTTTACACGGATCAGTCGTCCTGGTCCCTTTGCAGAAAAACAGCCCCAAAGCATGATGTTTCCACCCCCATGCTTCACAGTAGGTATGGTGTTGTTTGGATGCAACTCAGCATTCTTTGTCCTCCAAACACGACGAGTTGAGTTTTTACCAAAAAGTTCTATTTTGGTTTCATCTGACCATATGACATTCTCCCAATCCTCTTCTGGATCATCCAAGTGCACTCTAGCAAACTTCAGACGGGCCTGGACATGTACTGGCTTAAGCAGGGGGACACGTCTGGCACTGCAGGATTTGAGTCCCTGGCGGCGTAGTGTGTTACTGATGGTAGGCTTTGTTACTTTGGTCCCAGCTCTCTGCAGGTCATTCACTAGGTCCCCCCGTGTGGTTTTGGGATTTTTGCTCACCGTTCTTGTGATCATTTTGACCCCACGGGGTGAGATCTTGCGTGGAGCCCCAGATCGAGGGAGATTATCAGTGGTCTTGTATGTCTTCCATTTCCTAATAATTGCTCCCACAGTTGATTTATTCAAACCAAGCTGCTTAACTATTGCAGATTCAGTCTTCCCAGCCTGGTGCAGGTCTACAATTTTGTTTCTGGTGTCCTTTGACAGCTCTTTGGTCTTGGCCATAGTGGAGTTTGGAGTGTGACTGTTTGATGTTGTGGACAGGTGTCTTTTATACTGATAACAAGTTCAAACAGGTGCCATTAATACAGTTAACGATTGGAGGACAGAGGAGCCTCTTAAATAAGAAGTTACAGGTCTGTGAGAGACAGAAATCTTGCTTGTTTGTAGGTGACCAAATACTTAGTTTCCACCATAATTTGCAAATAAATTCATTAAAAATCCTACAATGTGATTTTCTGGATTTTTTTTCTCATTTTGTCTGTCATAGTTGACGTGTACCTATGATGAAAATTACAGGCCTCTCTCATCTTTTTAAGTGGGAGAACTTGCACAATTGGTGGCTGACTAAATACTTTTTTTCCCCACTGTAAACATCTGACCCACTGGAATTGTGATACAGTGAATTATAAGTGAAATTATCTGTCTGTAAACAATTGTGGAAAAATTACTTGTGTCATGCACAAAGTAGATGTCCTAACCGACCTGCCAAAACTATAGTTTGTTAACAAGAAATTTGAGGAGGGGTTGAAAAACTAGTTTTAATGACTCCAACCTAAGTGTATGTAAACTTCTGACTATTGTGGGAAGCTTGTGGAAGGCTACCCGAAACGTTTGACCGAATTAAACAATTTAAAGGCAATGCTACCAACTACTAATTGAGTGTATGTAAATGTCTGACCCCCTGGGAATGTGATGAAATAAATAAAAGCTGAAATAAATCATTCTCTCAACTATTATTCTGACATTTCACATTCTTAAAATAAAGTGGGATCCTAACTGACCTAAGACAGGGAATTTTTACTAGGATTAAATGTCAGGAATTGTGAAAAACTGAGTTTAAATGTATTTGGCTAAGGTCAAACATCTGACTTCAACTGTAGGTCTAATGCTTTAATATTTAATAATTTATGTACTCCGAATTCATATTCATTATATAAATAGGCCCGTTTAATTTTGTCTGGCTTGCCGTTCCAAATAAAATTGAATATTCTTTTCTCATTTCATTTAAAAAACTGTTCGCTAGGCGTAGGCAAGACCATAAGCAAATAGGTAAACTGGGATAATACTAAAGAGTTAATCTGTGTGATTTTTCCACAAATAGACAGGTATTTACCTTTCTATGGTAGCAAGATCTTATCTATTTTTGCTAACTTTCAATAAAAATTCATTGGAGTGAGATCATTTATTTCATTTGGGATATGTATTCCGAATATATCCACATCACCATCAGACCATTTTATTGGTAAACTACATGGTAATGTAAACGTTGTATTTTTTAGTGATCCAATGCGTAATATAGTACATTTATCATAATTTGGTGTTAATCCAGAGAGGTTAGAAAATTTATCTAGATCCTCCATGAGGCTGTGGATTTAAAAGAAAACATGAATCATCAGCGTACAATGACACCTTTGTTTTTAAGCCCTGGATTTCTAATCCCTTGATATTATTGTTTGATCTGATGTTAATAGCTAACATTTCGATGACCATAATAAATAGATATGCCGATAGTGGGCAACCTTGTTTTACTTCTCTTGACAGTTTAAAACTTTCTGAGAAATAGCCATTATTTACTATTTTATTGTGTTACCTTTTTTAATTTTAGTTTATTTAGTAAATATTTTCATTTAACTCTTATTTTCCTTAAAACTGCATTGTTAGCTAAGGGCTTGTAAGTAAGCATTTCACGGTAAGGTCTACACCTGTTGTATTCGGCGCATGTGACAAATACAATTTGATTTATCAATATCTTTCAACCAATCAACAGTAATTTGTGTCAGTGCAGTACATGTTGAATGCCCTTCTCTATAAGCATGCTGAAAGTCTGTAGTTAATTTGTTTACAGAGAAGTAGCATTGTATTTGGTCAAACACAATTTCTTCCAACAGTTTGCTAAGAGCTGGCAGCAAGCTGATAGGTCTGCTGTTAGAAACAGTAAGTTGTCAATGCCAGGAGGTTTGTCATTAACGATCGATAACAATTATTTTTCCACCTCTCCCACACTAACTTTACAAAATTCAAACTTGCAATGCTTTTCTTTCATTATGAATTTTTTTTTTATTATACATGAGTATGATGGCTCACTGTTCCTGCCAACGTTTGCCAACTTTGCCAATGATAATAATTGGCAACATCAAATCGTTTGTGATGAATAAGCCAACTGATTCAATGAAAGATGGAGTTGAATGTCTTTCTGTCCATAATTTCTATAAAAGTACTCCAATGTTTTTTTTCCATTATTCTTTATATCATTGATCTTGACTTCATAATACAGTTTCTTCTTCTTTTTGTTGAGTTTAGTCACATCATTTCTTAATTTGCAGTAAGTCAGCCAGTCAGATGTGCAGCCAGACTTATTAGCCACTCCTTTTGCCCCATCTCTTTCAACCATACAGTTTTTCAATTCCTCATCAATCCATGGAGCCTTAACAGTTCTAACAGTCAGTTTCTTAACAGGTGCATGTTGATCAATAATTGGAAGAAGCAATATGTTTTACATCATCCACATAAGAGTCACAGCAAAATCCTTTGTATGATCTCTTATACACAATTTCAGGCCCAGCTTTTGGAACTTTGGCTTTCCTGTATATAGCCACTATACTGTGATCACTGCATCCAAAGGGTACGGATACAGCTTTAGAACAAAGTTCTACAGTATTAGTAAAAATGTGATCAATACATGTGGATGATCTTATTCCTATGATCCCTTATTGATGTCACTTGTTAAATCCACTTCAATAAGTGTAGATCAGGGGTGTCAAACTCAATTCCATGGAGGGCCGAGTGTCTGCAAGTTTTTGGTTTTTCCTTTCAATTAAGACCTAGACAACCAGGTGAGGGGAGTTCCTTACTAATTAGTGACCTTAATTCATCAATCAAGTACAAGGGTGGAGTGAAAACCTGCAGACACTCGGCCCGCCGTGGAATGAGTTTGACACATGCGGTGTAGATGAAGGGGAGGCGACAGGTTAAAGAAGGATTTTTAAGCCTCGAGACAATAGAGACATGGATTGTGTATGTGTGCCATTCAGAGGGTGAATGGGCAAGACAAAATATTTAACTGCCTTTGAACGGGGTTAAGGTAGTAGGTTTTCACGCTCAACAGTTTCCCGTGTGTATCAAGAATGCTCCACCAGCCAACTTGACACAACCGTGGGAAGCATTGGAGTCAACATGGGCCAGCATCCCTGTGTAACGCTTTCGACACCTTGTAGAGTCCACACCCTAACAAATTGAGGCTGTTCTGAGGGACAAAAGGAGGGGAAGGTGTGAAGGTGTTCTTAATGTTTTGTACACTCAGTGTATATCACCAGTACTACGTTTGACGTTAATTCCCATAATTTCTAATCTACAATGTTTGTTTGGTTACGGTCATTTCTGTTAATGCATTCAATATATTATTATTGCAGTCTTTTACCATTTTCATTGTCGGAGTGGACACGTTATTTGCAGAATGCACAACCTATGCTACACTTGTGAGAAACAAGTTTTGGTTTATTTCATTCCATTGTCAATTTATCATTGTCTTTTGGTTGGAGCCCTCCTGTCACCTGATTATGCATAGAAGTAGGCCAAGGCTGCCTGGCCTGCACACAAATGTAGGCCTATAAATGTGCCCATTTGGAGATCTGATAGTATTTCTGATTGTCTTAACTCACCACCACTAATGAGCTGTGGAACATCTCAAAGTAATTTTTATTCACCTCAAACAGCAAGTAAACAAAGTCTGTTTTTACATCCATTGAGAATGAAAATAGATCCTCAATGTATTTGAAAACTCTTTCCACCTCTCTCCCTTTCGAGGAAAATGTCATGCCCTGATCCAGTGGAAACATCATAAAATAGGCCTACCTGATTTACTTCTCATCCCTTGGGCAAATAGCCTACAGTTGTGTCTATCCGGAGCTCACTGGTGCGGGAAACTCTGAGGGCCCAGAATATTTTATGCAATGTTGCAAGTTTGTAGCAGACAGGCCATGCGTAGCCAATGTGATTTATATGATGTTTATTTTCATCAGGATATTTTCTACCTGCAGGCTGCAATGTTCTAATTTGTTGGCTTTATGTAGGCTATTTTTACATAGTTGGCAATGGCAAAAGATTTTACATTTAGATTTAGATTGAATTTTGATTAACCACATGACAATGATTTTGAGATACGTTATTAGAAATTAAATTAAGATGTTCCACGAAAATGTGCATATGAAAACCATAACTGACACGCAGACCGGTAGAAATGGTAAGATAAATTGGCATTTCACATGAAAAAGGTTGCCGACCCCTGATGTAGCCTATTACCGGCAACTTCAAGAGCGTAGCGGCGGGAGGAGTATGGTCGGGTCTTCTGGTTATCTTGATCTCAGGCTCCCTAGAGTCATTTGTGTCTTATTTCATCAAACTGTGTGCTTAAAGCATTAGACAAGCTCAGTGCATATCATTTTATTTTATTAAAAAACATAGGGTGGGTCTATATATGGAAAAATACACGTAAAAAAATGTCAACCAATCAATTGGTCGAAAGAACAGACGACTTTCGGGGACAGACCTAATACCAATTGATGGGAAACTATTGAGAATGGTAACAGACTGTATTGCCACCCCTATTTGCTATTTCTTTAACCAAAGCCTAAAGGAGTGTGTCCACAGGAGTGGAAGGAAGCTAAAGTAATTCCACTGCCTTAAAATAGTAAAGCACCAATTGCTGGCTCTAACAGCTGCACAATCAGTCTGCTGCCTGTTCTTAGTAAACTGATAGAGAGGATCGTGTTTGACCAAATACAATGCTATTTTTCAGAGAACAAGCTAACCACTGAATTTCAGGGCACTCAACTTGTACTACACTGACTTAGATGACTGATGATTGGTTAAAAGAAATTGATAATAAGATGATAGTTGGAGCTGTATTGTTAGATTTCAGTGCAGCCTTTGATGTTACTGATCATAAATTGTTATTGAAAAAACTCACTTGCTATGGCTTTACATTACCTGCCATGACATGGTTGGAGAGTTATTTATCCAATAGAATACAGAGAGTGTTATTCAATGGAAGCTTCTCAGATATGTACAGTGCGATGTCCCTCAGGGCAGTTATCTTGAGACGTTCCTCATCTCTATTTTTACCATTGATTTGCCACTGGTCTTACACGAAACTAGAATGACTATGTATGCAGATGACTCCACACTCTACATGTCAGCGCCCAAAGCCGGAGAGCTCACTAAAATGTTAAATAAGGAGTTACAGAGTATCAGAATGGGTGATTAATAATAAACTGGTCTTAAAAACATCTAAAACGAAAAGCATTGTACTTGGTTCAAAACATTCTCTAAGACCTAAACCTCAACTGGAGTTGTGCATAAAGGGTGTGACCATTGAGCAAGTTCAACCACTCCACAACTCATAGGTACAGTATAACATTGGATGGTCAATTATCAAGGTCAAGTCATATTGACAAAGTTGTTGTGAAGTTGGGGAGGGGTGTCTGTAATAAAAACATTTTTGACACACAAAAAAATCAACTGTACTAGTCGTTCAGGCTCTGGTCTTGTCCCATCTTGATTACTGTCCGGTAATATGGTCAAGTGCAGCACAAAAAGACCTAGTAAAGCTACAGCTGGCTCAAAACAGAGCTGCATGCCTTGCCATTAACTGCAAATACAGAAATAACATCAACAACATGCATACCAGTCTTTCCTGTTTGAGGGTTGACGAGAGATGAACTACTTCTCTTCTAGCTTTTATGAAACAAAAATTCCAGATTGTCTGCATAATCAAATAACATTCAGCTCAGACACCCATACACACCCCACAATACATGCCACCAGGGGTCTTTTCACAGTCCCCAAGTCCAAAACGAATTCACGGCAACGCACAGTTTTATACAGAGCCATGATTGCATGGAACTCCCTTCCATTTCCAATTACTCATTCAAACAGCAAAATTACCTTTAAAAACAGATTAAACAACAACTAATGTAACTGTCCTTGTCTATCAGTGTTTTGTTACTTGTCATGTTTTGTGCTTTTTTGCCGACCCCAGGAAGAGTAGCTGATGCTTTTTTGCATAATGAATTACACAAGGTGATTCATTAAGTCAAGAATGTCTTATCTTATCCACAGGATAAGATACTGCAAAGAAATAGTGTGTGTGTGTTAGTGTAGGATTTTTTACTCCAGTCAAAGCAGTAGCTAACACACCTGATTCAACTAATAAAGACTGGAATGGAAGGCCTTTATAATAAATATTGATATTTCTCACTGTCATCCTCTCGCACTATCTGTTTAATACAATCCCTTTAAAAAAATCTCACCAGGTTCTTCAGAAGTGCGGACAGCTCCTTGACGAGGCTGGAGAACTTGACAAAGGCGGTTCCCAGATCGGGGTTGTCCCTGCTGATGAAGTTGCTACCAAACTTGTCCAGTGCCTGGCCATAATTCCCTTCATTCTGGACATGATCTGCAAGCAGAGGAGGTGAAAACAACATATGAAAAAACAACATGTTCACTCAAAACAAAGGATTCATCTATAACGTTTGGGTGCTGGAGCTAAGAATGCTATCCATTTCATATTCAACAGGTCAAAGTATTTTCTTCACATATCACCGGTACCCTAAGTCTATGAAAAAAGGGCTTCACAGGCAAGGATATTGCTGCTAGTAAGATTGCACCTAAATCAACCATTTATCGGATCATCAAGAACTTCAAGGAAAGAGGTTAAATTGTTGTAAAGAAGGCGCCCAAGAAAGTCCAGCAAGCGCCAGGACCATCTCCTAAAGTTGATTCAGCTGCGGGATCGGGACACCACCAGTGCAGAGCTTGCTCAGGAATGGCAGCAGGCAGGTGTGAGTGCATCTGCATGCACAGTGAGGCAAATACTTTTTGAGGATGGCCTGGTGTCAAGAAGGGCAGCGAGGAAGCCACTTCTCTCCAGGAAAGACATCAGGGACAGACTGATATTCTGCAAAAGGTACAGGGATTGGACTGCTGAGGACTGGGGTAAAGTCATTTTCTCTGATGAATCCCCTTTCAGATTGTTTGGGGCATCCGGAAAAAAGCTTGTCCGGAGAAGACTAAGTGAGCGCTACCATCAGTCCTGTGTCATGTCAACAGTAAAGCATCCTGAGACCATTCATGTGTGGGGTTGCTTCTCAGCCGAGGGAGTGGGCTCACACACAATTTTGCCTAAGAACACAGCCATGAATAAAGAATGGTACCAACACATCCTCCGAAAGCAACTTCTCCCAACCATCCAAGAACAGTTTGGTGATGAACAATGCCTTTTTCCAGCATGATGGAGCACCTTGCCATAAGGCAAGAGTGATAAATAAGTGGCTCAGGGAACAAAACATCGACATTTTGGGTCCATGGCCAGGAAACTCCCCAGACCTTAATCCCATTGAGAACGTGTGGTCAATCCTCAAGAGGCAGGTGGACAAACAAAAACCCACAAATTCTGACAAACTCCAAGCATTGATTATGCAAGAATGGGCTGCCATCAGTCAGGATGTGGCCCAGAAGTTAATTGACAGCATGCCAGGGCGGATTGCAGAGGTCTTGAAAAAGAAGGGTCAACACTGCAAATATTGACTCTTTGCATAAACTTTAATGTAATTGTCAATAAAAGCTTTTGACACTTATGGAATGCTTGTAATTATACTTCAGTATACCATAGTAACATCTGACAAAAATATCTAAAAACACTGAGGCAGCAAACTTTGTGAAGACCAATACTTGTGTCATTCTCAAAAGTTTTGACCACGACTGTATTTGTAAAAAAAAAATGGCATTTTAATAGCAGTCTTTGTTTTTATTGATCTATACAACATTCAAAATAATAGATATCAAAATCCAAAAGTACAGTGCCTTCAGAAAGTATTCACACCTCTTGACTTTTTCCACATTTAGTTTTATTTCAGCCTGAATTGAAAATTGATTAAATTGAGATTGTGTCACTGGCCTACACACAATACCCAATAATAAATAGGCTACCAGCTAAATAATGTATATAGCTATAGATAGGCTAGTATACTAGTAGAAGCGGTAAGCCTAAGTTGCTAGGATCGCTACTATACGTTCCAGGATACTGCCAAACCCTAATGTCGGCTGCTTGGCGAAGCAGCTAGCCTTGCTGCTAGCTATCAAGCTAGCCAGATTTCCTTGACAGTTTGAACACAGTCCGTAAGACATTATCACCAAAAAGCTGCAGATGGATCATAGGAAGATTGAGGTGGAGCGTGCCTACAGGTCTTGAAAACCTGTAACCAGCCCAGGTGACAGACCCAGGCTGTTAGTGGTCAACTTCCTAAGGTTCAAGGACAAGATGGCTGTTCTGGAGAGAGCCAAGAACTTGAGAGGAACCAACATCTTCCTCAACGAGGACTTCGCTGAAGCTATGCGCCAGAGGCAGAAATAACTTATCCCAGCTATGAAAGCTGCCATAGAGCATGGGGACATGGCTTACATCTGCTACGACAAGCTCGTTGTCCTACCCTCCCTCCCTAAAGCCTGGGAGGAGTGAGATAGTCAAGCTTCCGGGTCAGTAGCCTGATTGACTGACTCCATTATTAATTTTTTTTTGTCTATCTCCGATAAGCTACCCAGGAATGGGCTAATAGCCTATATTAATATATGTAGCATTAGAAATAAGGTTCATGAAATCAATAACTTCCTAACATCGAATCACATTCATATACTGGCCATCTCTGAAACTCACTTAGATAGTTTATTTGATGATACAGCAGTAGCAATACAAGGATAAAACATCTACAGAAAAGACAGGATTGCCAATGGGGAAGGTGTTGTACAGTTGAAGTCAGAAGTTTACATACACTTAGGTTGGAGTCATTAAAACTTGTTTTTCAACCACTCTATAGTTTTGGCAAGTCGGTTAGGACATCTACTTTGTAAATGACACAAGTCATTTTTCCAACAATTGTTTACAGACAGATTATTTCACTTATAATTCACTGTATCACAATTCCATTGGGTCAGAAGTTTACATACACTAAGTTGACTGTGCCTTTAAACAGCTTGGAAAATTCCAGAAAATAATGTCATGGCTTTAGAAGCTTCTGATAGGCTAATTGACATATTTTTGAGTCAATTGGAGGCGAACCTGTGGATGTAATCCAAGGCCTACCTTCAAACTCAGTGCCTCTTTGCTTGACATCATGGGAACATCAAAATAAATCAGCCAAGACCTCAGAAAAAAATTGTTAACCTCCACAAGTCTGGTTCATCCTTGGGAGCAATTTCCAAATGCCTGAAGGTACCACGTTCATCTGTACAAACAATAGTACGCAAGTATAAACACCATGGGACCACGCAGCCGTCATACCGCTCAGGAAGGAGACGCATTCTGTCTCCTAGAGATCAATGTACTTTGGTGCGAGAAGTGCAAATCAATCCCAGAACAACAGCAAAGGACCTTGTGAAGATGCTGGAGGAAACAGGTACAAAAGTATCAATATCCACAGTAAAACAAGTCCTATATCGACATAACCTGAAAGGCCGCTCAGCAAGGAAGAAGCCACTGCTCCAAAACCGCCATGAAAAAGCCAGACTATGGTTTGCAACTGCACATGGGGACAAAGATCGTACAATTGGAGAAATGTCCTCTGGTCTGATGAAACAAAAATAGAACTGTTTGGCCATATTGACCATCGTTATGTTTGGAGGAAAAAGGGGGATCCTTGCAAGCCGAAGAACACCATCCCAACCGTGAAGCACGGGGTGGTAGCATCATGCTGTGGGGGTGCTTTGCTGCAGGAGGGACTGGTGCACTTAAAAAAATAGAGGGAATCATGAGGAAGGAAAATTATGTGGATATATTGAAGCAACATCTCAAGACATCAGTCAGGAAGTTAAAGCTTGGTCGCAAATGGGTTTTCCAAATGGACAATGACCCCAAACATACTACCAAAGTTGTGGCAAAATGGCTTAAGGACAACAAAGTCAAGGTATTGGAGTGGCCATCACAAAGCCTTGACCTCAAGCCTATAGACAATTTGTGGGCAGAACTGAAAAAGTGTGTGCGAGCAAGGAGGCCTACACCAACTCTGTCAGGAGGAATGGGCCAAAATTCACCCAACTTATTGTGGGAAGCTTGTGGAAGGCTACCTGAAACATTTGACCCAAGTTAAACAATTTTAAAGGCAATGCTACCAAATACTAATTGAGTGTATGTAAACTTCTGACCCACTGGGAAGGTGATGAAAGAAATAAAAGCTAAAATAAATCATTCGCTCTACTAATTCTGACATTTCACATTCTTAAAATAAAGTTGTGATCCTAACTGACCTAAGAGAGGGAATTTATTACTAGAATTAAATGTCAGGAATTGTGAAAAACTGAGTTTAAATGTATTTGGCTAAGGTGTATGTAAACTTCCGACTTCAACTGTATATATACATATATATATACAAATATATACACACACATACATACACACACACACACACACACACACACACACACACACACATAAATATATATATACATACAGTGAGGGAAAAAAGTATTTGATCCCCTGCTGATTTAGTACGTTTGCCCACTGACAAAGAAAGGATCAGTCTATAATTTTAATGGTAGGTTTATTTGAACAGTGAGAGACAGAATAACAACAAAACAATCCAAAAAAACGCATGTCATAAATGTTATAAATTGATTTGCATTTTAATGAGGGAAATAGGTATTTGAGCCCCTCTCAGTCAGAAAGATTTCTGGCTTCCAGGTGTCTTTTATACAGGTAACGAGCTGAGATTAGGAGCACACTCTTAAAGGGAGTGCTCCTAATCTCAGTTTGTTACCTGTATAAAAGACACCTGTCCACAGAAGCAATCAATCAATCAGATACCAAACTCTCCACCATGGCCAAGACCAAAGAGCTCTCCAAGGATGTCAGGGACAAGATTGTAGACCTACACAAGGCTGGAATGGGCTACAATACCATCGCCAAGCAGCTTGGTGAGAAGGTGACAACAGTTGGTGCAATTATTCGCAAATGGAAGAAACACAAAATAACTGTCAATCTCCCTCGGCCTGGGTCTCCATGCAAGATCTCACCTCGTGGAGTTGCAATAATCATGAGAACGGTGAGGAATCAGCCCAGAACTACACGGGAGGATCTTGTCAATGATCTCAAGGCAGCTGGGACCATAGTCACCAAGAAAACAATTGGTAACACACTACGCCGTGACGGACTGAAATCCTGCAGCGCCCGCAAGGTCCCCCTGCTCAAGAAAGCACATATACAGGGCCGTCTGAAGTTTGCCAATGAACATCTGAATGATTCAGAGGAGAACTGTGTGAAAGTGTTGTGGTCAGATGAGACCAAAATCGAGCTCTTTGGCATCAACTCAACTCGCCGTGTTTGGAGGAGGAGGAATGCTGCCTATGACCCCAAGAACACCATCCCCACCGTCAAACATGGAGGTGGAAACATTATGCTTTGGAG